CGTGTCTTGAAACGTCGACTTTTTCCCGCATTTTTCTGTCAACATACAAAGTGAGGAATTGCTTTTTTTACTCGGGTTACAGACGTATGTTATTACCTTTTTCGTAAAGAGTTCCAAAGGCAGCCGGTACAATGGACCTTTTGTCGGGACGCTTGTAAGTTTGGTGCTGTAAACGGTGACATTTTTTTGATTTTATCGCATCCATGTCTATACTAGGCACGGAACGCGTCGAAGCGTCATAATGTAAACGGGGCCAATTATCGATAAGTTGTTCAAGCGTCATTACAAAAGGTTTTTAACTGTCGATTGCATCGGTAGATGTAAAATATTTGAAGTCACACTGACCTAAGATAACGCACTTGGTTTTTTTACAAATTTATATAACAAAAAACTCACTATAGTCTTCAAATTTGTAGCTTGTAAAGTAGCTTTTGTTGCTCGTTAAATTTTTTTTTTTTTGTACACAATATTTTTTTTTATATAAAATTGAACGGGGTTTTGGTAACAGGCTTTCGCCTCTCTCTCCCGAAAAAATAAGTTACATATCATGGATGCAAAAATATAAGATAAGTTATTTAATGAAAAAATAAACATATTTACAGTAAGATGTCAACACGTCAGTGCTGGTGATATTGGTGGTAAATCTAGGTAACATCGAATCTTTTGCTTAAATGAATTGAATTGTGAACTTGATGATGCATGATGATTGATGATTTTTGACACGGTGTTACGAATAAAAGAGTATTATTTGATAAATCGGAAGGTTTCTAAAAGGTAGAGAATATCTGAATGTATCAGACAGTGGACAAGGTAGTGTTCAGTGTCTTCGAATTGGTGACCACAAAGGCAATGACACTGTATGAAATGTGACGCAGGAAATACAAGACGAAAGTGGCAATGTAGAATTTGATTTTTGCGGGAGCCAAAGAAATAAGAAGTGGATTCCAGAATGTCGTTTTATTTAAGAGCTACTTTAAAAGATAATAGTAATTGGATTTTTTTAAGTTAACAGACAGGTTGTTCCATTCTCTAATGCTTGATCGTTAATTCGATTTGATAATCAGATCGAGCGATTCGTACATCGACTTGTAGTATCTCTAATTTGTCGAGTTATTTGGAGGGATTTGAGTTGGCAGTTACCGCTTCTGAGTCTCATTTTCAAAATAACCAGATTTTTTAGGGGGAAAGTAAATTAAAAATAGAATTCACCCTAGAGCGTTTTAAATTGTTTTCATCTTATTTTGATAAAACACCAGATGTCTTATAATAGGTGAATGTAAGATGACAAACCCCCTCATCCTTGAAAGAAACACGTTTAATAATGAGTCATCAGTAACGAACAGGTGTAAGTTTACACCAACAGGAAGATGACGAAAACTCACAATCGGTAGGATTTAGGGGATTTCCAAAACGAACCGGAATGCTGGACTCGGTATTAATAGGAGTATAAACCATAAATTACAACATAATTAACTTAGAAATCGATTAATCTATTAATAGAACATGATACATGTAAATGTGGAAATATGTACTTTTAGAATTAATGGGAAATGTTCAATGGTTCAAATCTACCGTGAAACGAAAAATTGCTCAGATTTTGATTTCTTTTGTAAGCTACATTCAAAAGTTTACTGTATACATGGGGAAATTTGTTTTGAAATTCAGAGTAGCTGTGGGACCAAATGACTTGATCATATGTCGTTACAAAGGGGATTGGTAGGTGTCGGAAGCCAGGACTGTGCCATTGAAATTTGTTCCTAACTTGAGGAGGATTAGAATAGGGATTTAAAGACGACAAAAGAGTTTATTACTGCAATTAGTATCTATGTTCTTTGCAGGAAAATATGTCACAAATAATTCCGATTTACATATTTCATATCCAACGATATGAAACAACGTTCAACCCATCACACACAGTAAATTAGTTTGATGATAAATAAAAAGTCAACTGAACACAATTTTATGGATAAATAAATTTTCAGAAGCGGAAATTGTTATTGGCATATTTTATCTTAGCCATATCACATAAAGTTTCACATACAATGGTGCATATGTTGGTTTATATATTAAAAGAATACATAATGAGCCCAGGAATTTTAAATATATTTGGAAAACACAATTTTTGGTCAAACTTTCTTTAAATACAAAAAAAAAAACAACACAAAAACATCCAAGGTGTGGTTTCAAAAATTCATAAACTAAAGATTTGCTGAGGTTTTAAAGATATCTGTATTGATTAATGTTCAGCATAAATAGTTCAAAATAGATTTTATGAAAAAGATATTATATAAAAGATCAATGATAAATTTTTATTTATAAAAGAAACTATAGGGACGTCATCCACCTGTCCTGACTATATTTTATGTTTCATAAGATAGCCTGCAAGGCAAGGTAATATACGCCAACTAGCAGCTTTGATTTTAAATAAAATATTTAGCAGTACAGTAACAATCACCAGAATGAAATATTCAACCTTCAGTCATACACTTCTTTTTAACTTTTTGGGGTGATACTGAATAATTTTAGGCTACCGTTTTGTCAAAATCCGGCATATATAGAGTCTGTAAGTGTTAACGAGCTAAAATTGAATGCGTTTTCAAAATGAGGTCAATAAATCATGTAAAGTAATTCTCAATTTTGTTTTTGTTCAAAGATTCATCCATGTGTGATAATGGGTTAAACAAATAAGATTTGTGAAAACCAGCATGAATCGAGCCTTTGAGTGTTTACAAGCTAAAAATTGAATTCTTTTCAATTTTTGATAGGGTTCATCCATGGGTGATTACACACACAACTCAAAATCTGTTAAGAATTCGTGCCTTCTTGAGATTTAACACGTTTTCGCGCACAAGGGAAATAACTCATCTTAATTTTTTTAGTTTTTTCTCATTTTTAAGAGGATTGATCCTTGGGTGATTACAAACACTCAATTCAAGTTTCGTCAAAATCCACCAGGAATCGTTCTTCCATGAATGTTTATAAGCATTTCTGGACGGACGGACGAAACACCAATATACGCCTCATTTCAGTCGGGCGTTTAAAATACCTCTTAAATCCATTGAATAAGCATTCCAGAGAAAATCAGTGCAGGCACGAACTTGTGCCCTTTTCACGATGGAATCTTCTTGTACAGAATGCTTTGGACATTGAAACACCCGCGAGAGAATGCAAGATTTTTTCTCGAGAGCGTTTTAAATTATTATAAATTGTGAGTAACGTTGGGGTTTGTTTTGGCTACCTAAAAAGTAATATCGCTAAAAAAAGATTTCCATGATTTGTGGCCGTTATTTGTCCTATCCATAATGAGTCGACAAAACCCAACGATTTTTAAACTTCTCAAGAGTTGTGTTCGAAAATACAGTTGCTCTCAAATTCTGCCGTGTAGAACTAAACATCTGCCTCTATTCTAGCCTCTGATGGCTATTTTGAAAGTTTTTGGCTGTTGTACTGTTGTTGTTCTACAGTCGTTAACTGTCAAGACATCCACTAGAGTCTTGAATAGAATAGATGTTTCGGACTAACTCCAGTGTTGCTATCAAGATAAAGTTAAAAGCCATCAGCAATTTCTTATATTCACCCACATTAGTTTGAACATCGTTTTCTACATTATTATATATAGTATGCGTTAAATGAAGCAGAGTATAATTCTATTATAATGTATGATAATATACTGCATTATCATCTAAACTAAAATTATTTTGGTAGTAGAAAGTAATATGCTCGAAATTTTAATTTGTTTTGAAGATAATTATCATACATAAAACTCTAAAAGAAAAGAAATCGTTGAACAATTACCACACAATAATATACGGTTTTCAACTCTTTGTTTGTCTCTTCTTTTCAATGCAAAATTTCATGCTTGAAAAAAACTTTTAAATAGATTTTACATCCTTTTAATTATTTTTTGGAAAACTTTTGCACCCGTCCTGCACTAACAAATCTTCACAATGTCAAGCTATTACGACTTGTCTAATAATCTATTACCTGTACTTCTTGTATCATGGAATGCAGCGATTACGGATAATCATAGTCCTTGATATAAAGACTGTAAACGTTATGGCTTTTAGTTGACAGATTTTCTGTTGAGGATCCTGATTGGCTGTATTCGGTAGCGTACAATCCAATCAAATTGCTGCATTTATAAACTTTTGTGATAGAAGGAATGTGGCTATTGCGGTCGGGGTATCGTTCGTATTAGTTTGACATTGTGAAGATGATATTCAGTCAGACATCATCCATTTCCAAAATCTTATGCTAAAGTTATTATTCCCTTTAAACTAAAATTATCAAACCGTTACGAGGCCAAATACCAAACTAATTTCAAATTCTTTATTTAACAGCTAGAACCTTGTAATCTCCTTTTAAAACAATTTAAGGTTGATCAAACAGATAAAAAGAAATAAAAAAACATATTTTTGAAATCGTTTAAAGTATAATTTACAATGTTTTAATGGGAATTTCGCATAATGCTCCTTTTAAATATAAATCAGAAAGAAATGTTTGAAGTAAGCCGCTAATACGCACTCGTAGGCATATAGATATGTTTAAAGTTTAATTGAGCATTCATTAAAAAACAACATGAATAGTATTTAGAGCGTTCCGTGAGATTTTCGATAAAACTAAATAGTTGAACAAGTTAATAACATCCTCGTTGCTCGTCCTTGAGCAATAAATTGAATTTGGGCTTTATATTTAGTTCTTTGGCCTTTATGGGGATTATTTTTAAAAAAAATTAATGAACTTAACGACACTTTTACACAAACAGTAATTGTACTGTAATTCGGAAAGTAACCGTAAAAAGGTTACAATTGTGTATCCCAAATCGTTTCTTATTTTGTTTGCTGATAATTTCCGTCATAATTGTAATCTAACACGTTTTCTAACATTCTAGTGACGATGTTTTCGTGTTCCTAACGAACGATTAGCCACCGCGCTTGTATATCTGAAAAATTTATTTTTTTAAATCATTTCAGCAAACGTGTTCATAAGTTAACAACACAATGTCTAAGATCAAAATCAGACCGAATACCGTGGATGATGTTAACAATTTGACAGATCTTATTTCTGCGACAAGAGCCTTAAAGGAGCTCGGTCTATCAGCAGCTAATATAAAAACTCTTGAAGATGCTAAAGCTAGAATCATTCAAGGCTTCTCAAAAGAAAAGGCACAAGAGATCTATAAAAAGAATGTAAGTATACTTGGATCCCCACCCCTTCCTTATTTTCAGGTTGATCCAAGATGAATCAAAAACTGGCCTTTCAAATTACTCGTCGAATATAAATGTTAAATAGAGACACACGGGTAGTGATTGTGATCTGTATACGTGCCCATTCTCGTTAGAGACACACTCCACAGTTACGGTTTATGTCTATTATATTACAGTTAAAATCTAACATATTGACCTCACGATCAAGATATTGAGATCAATGGATAAGAAGTAGGGGGTGTAAAGCGTCACCAAAGGGATCATAATGGTTGTAACTATATGTTTACTGTTACTCATCTCAGATGATTGGGTTGAAATTCAATTACATGTTCATATAATGTCCATGCAATGAATTTACCGATAAGTTTTCTGAACACAACCAGGTGTCTTAAAAAATCTCTTTTCTGGTTTTCAGGATTGTGATCCAATGCAGAAAGCTTTAAAGGAAAATGAAAAGAACAGACATACACTTACTGATATGTTCAAGAAAGCAGAAGGTTTTTTAAAAACCCTATCTAGTAACTTCCAAGAAGATCTCAATAGAGTGTTCCCTGAGTTTAACAAATCTTTTTGCATTAGATCACGGGATTTGGAGAAGTCAAGTTGCTACATTTTAGTTGCAGGTTTGATGGGTTCTATATACAAAACTTGTCCAATAACGTCCAATCTGGATCGTCTCTTTGATCACAAAATAGTTATCCTTATTTCCCATACGTCTGATCTATTCATGAGCACTTAAAATCGAAAAGTCATGCAGTTATAGGCGCTTGGAGAGACATGCACACTCCGATACTAATAAATATTCGAAAATATTTTAACAAGGTTCATGAGACGATTCATTTTAATCTGAAATCTGGCATTTCTGCGGCAGGCCTATTTGGCTTTTTTGTCCTATGTACCCTTCTTTATTCTGTTTTTGTAGGACCTATTACGCTGTTTTGTCCTATTTACCTTTCAAATGGTTATGTCTTCGTTTGTCCTATTTGACGTTCTTTCTCCTGGAACTTCTTGTATCTTCTTCTTGCGTTTGTTTGTCTGTTGTGACATTCCTTTTACATATCCCGTATCTGATAATTCTTTGTCTATTCTGACATTCCTGTATCTGACATATGTAATGTATGATATGACTTTGTTCGATATGACATTTCAATATATGTTTGAGCTTGAATGTCGTTGAAAGCCCGCTTACACGTTGTCTAATCAATACATTGTAACCCTTTTCGTATTTTTCATTAAAGGTGAATCGGGGGCTGGTAAAAGCACCATCATCAATCTGTTGCTAGGAACACGACTTCTGCCTACAAGTGATTTATACTGTACGTCTAATATCTGTGAATTACGACAGTCAGACAAACGATGCTATATGTTATACCACAAAGACAGGCGAAAGCCCCCAGAAATATTCGATTACGACGAATCACGAAGTTTAGATCAGTACATGGAAATTATGGCCAACCATATCCGCCTCAGTAATCAAGAAAGTGGTGATACTTTCTACGAGAAGATCGAAATTTACTGGCCCTTCCCATATAATATGGTAATTACTTTTCTATTCAGTGAACTCTCACAATTTAAGTAATGCAAAAAAATGAAAATATGCATACCCTATTCATACGGTGTGCAATTTGTGTCGTTTTTAAGTTTTTAAAGCAATAGAGAAATATGATCCTGATAAAATCTCTACCGTAATTTAAACCTTCCTATTGTTTTTTTTTTCTAAATCTACCTTCATGGTAGGAATAAATTTTGATCTAGGTCATTCTTTATCAGATTTCATTGGTAATAAAAAAAATTGTTTTTTAATGATCGGTAAACACCATTTCACTTCGGTATAATAGGTCTTGTTAAATGTATAGTTATTTTATACATATCTTATAATACACTATAACTCTGTATTATAAGATATCTTATTCATTATTACTTCATTATTAATAGGAATGGCCCTTTCAGATATCATAGATACAGTAATAGTTAAAGACAGCAGTGTTACAAGTTTCGAATAAAAATAAAAAATGAATTAAAGACCGTCTCCTTTATTTCAATGTTGTTTTCTTGACAAAATGCATAATATATTCATTTGTTTTACTGCTGTTAAGAGGAGTTATATTGAATTTATTGTACCTTTCAGGAGAAAATTGTGTTCGTTGACACACCAGGCGTAAGTGATGATCTTAGTCTATCAGCCAGTCTTCAGAAATACATGAATAAATCTTTTGGATTTATATATGTTCTGAACAGCGCTGCTGCCGGTGGAATACATAAAGATAGGGTATGTTGCTTATAACTTTGAAAAAGGCAAAAGGGTTTTCGCTTTCTATTTCTTTGCAATTAATTATGTGTTCAAGATGTCGTTTTTATGTAATGTGCAAACATGGAAATTTTACCAGATGGCTGCAGTGTTGAATCGTGACAAGCGAATGTCGTATTTGACTTTTTTAAACATAGACTTGTATTTAAATCAAGGTAGAAAATATCCCCTTAAAAAACGATATAGAGCGAGAAGTATGATAAAGATAATATGGAATGAGTTGGCATGAGCGAATGATCAACCTGTTTGACAACATAAACCCATGCCCCATGTGATACAGGATGTCTTACAGACTCCTTTGGCAGTTAAAATTGAAAAAAAAACAGGCTAATCCGATGTAATGGTTAACGTTTATTCGTTGCAAAAATCTCTCAAAGGACATAACTGTATTACAACTTGCTAGCTTTCTTTTCCTTTCTCTCCTTTTCAGCTTGGTCGATTATTGAGATTAGCACAAGAGAGAGGAGATGAAGATTTTGATCCTTCTGCTGCTCTGTTTGTTTGTAATAAACATGATCTTCTGAAAGATAATGAAGTTGCGGGAGTTATGGACGTCAGCCTGGAGAAGTTACAAGGATGCTATCCAGGTGTAGTCAAAGAACAGCTCTATCCGATTTCGGCGATGGAGGTTTGAGTTTTTTTTAGTCAGCTTTCTGTGTGTTTTGCCAATAATCCTTGCATCATCAATCTTCTTGTCGCAAGCAGCGTCAATTGGTATTGTTTATTATACACGCCATAAGGTCTTAATTGCTCACTAATGATTGATATACTTCCTCTTGTGAAAAGTTCTTTAGCTGTTCTTAAGATGCTTCTCCAAAATATTGTTTTGGATTTTGGGTTTCGTTTTGCGGTTCGGATCGTTAGTACTTGGTTTATTTATTTACAATTAATTTATAATTTTACCCTAAAACCTATTGAAGATGCATGACTTGATACCATCCATTTAAACATTTAGAACACAGTTGTCTATATTAGATGCAATCGTGTTTTTAATAGGTTAAATTAATGTTTGTTGACATTATAGGCAACCAAAACCGCTGAATATGGACGTGGAATTTTAAAAGAACACACTAAATTGATTGATGCAGTTCGAAATGTTTTACCTAAAATATTCCATTCTCAACTAGCAGCCCATTATAGGTCAGTTTCAACAAATTATTTGATTTCGATCTCTTCGACTGAGTTCGTATGGTCTGAATTCTTCAAATAATGATAAGTTCTGTTATTTAAGAAAAAAAAAACAAATCTGTACTTCTGTAGTGAAGAGGAAGGTTGTTCTATAAATTCGGATTCGCCCAATGCATAGTTTTGAATCAACCATGACCTTTTTTCAGCTTGTTTCAAAGGCAAAATTGTGATTTGGAACAACCCTGTACATTTAAACTGAAAACTTTAAAATAAAGAAATTGAGACTGTCGTTCCTTAATATTTCTAGGTGGCTTGTGTCTGTAATCAAGCGTACGTTATACACTTTAAAGATGTCATTGGTGCTAGATACTAAAAGTATTGAAGATAAAAGATCCATTATGACCGACGTGAAAAATCAAATGTCGAATTTAGCTCAGAGAGCAGACGATCGTATCAAACTTATGAAAACAAACATGGACGATTCTGTCCAAAGAGTTGTGAATGATGTATTAAAGATCATAGGTATGTCGAAAGTAGATTGGTAAGGAATAGCATGCGGGCGGCATCGTGATGACTTTACTTTCTCTCAATGAAGAGTCATCAAATACTGGTTTACATATTCGCTTAGTTGAACAAAATATGTGTTTCTTAAGTCAGTGTCTACATACATGGCTCGTGAATTTGATCCGAATGTATCGTTTTGATTCAAGTCCATGAGGATGTTCAGTTGAACGCCAATCCTGATTTATTTGTGGCTTTCAGATCAAAACCAGGCCGAGTTATCAATGTGGGGACCAAATACATACCCTCAACCAGATAAAGATTGGAAGGTGGTGGCTAGAAAAGCCTCTTTGATCATCTCGGATCGAATAGCTAACTTAATAGATGAATGGGATTCTAGGAGGAATGTGGTTGGGCAGATAAAGCAGGGAGTATTGGACAAGTTTAAGAACGATTGCGAGCTGTTTGAAGACCAGATCAAACAAATTGAGGGTAATATTGGTTTAACCGTTATATATATCAATTGTATCAAAACCTTTACTGCAATTGCTGAAAAAGGTATTTAATTCGTATTTATAAGCATAGGATGATTCAGAAGGGACAAAATTCTTTTCATGTAAATTTAATAATTAATAATACTAAGTAACATCACCTCCATGAGGAAAACTGGAGTTAATCTATCTTAGAAAATTCTTAGGATTTCTTATAACAAAGTTCGGATGAAAGAGTAAGCATTTTATCGTTTGCCATGCAAAACACCAGACCAGATCTAGACACAATGGTATGGGTGGAAACTATTTGAAGTTCATTCATTCTTTCCTCATGTGAAAAAGTTCATTTGCTGCTACCAATGTTTTGCCTGTGTGTTGTTTGGGTTTATGATTTCGTTTTGCGTTTCGGATCTTTAGTACTTGGTTTATTTAACAACAATAAATGATAATTTCTGATATTTGAACTCTCTGACTCATCTTCTTATTTCAGGTACATTTCTGGGAGTAGAGACTAAAGCAATAGCAGATTTTCATCATTCCATTAAATATAGATCGAATGTGAAAGCCATTTGGAAAACGAACAAAAAGGAAAAGTATGGTGGAAGTATTGGAATAGCAGTTGCAGAAGCTACGTCACTTAATATTAAGAGCCCCGAGGTACATCATGCCAGATGGATCTTATGTCGATAGTATTCAGTCTATGACTTCTAATCTCATTATATTTCCAAAAAATATATTACCAAAATAGTCATTAAGATAAAAAGCTCAAAATTAGACAATTTTTATAATTTAGGGATGAAATATCCCTAATGATTGACGGCTTTCATCGAAATATGAACGATGCACTATATTATAATTAATTCATTATTTTTCCATGAAACATTCTGTTTAGTTCATTACCAGATGCAATACTATAGTCATGATTGTTCAATTAATGGAACGCAAGTAATGTTGCGGAATCGTAAAATTGGGTTTGTGTCAGCTGTTATACTATGATTAAAATCCTGGTCTGATTTTAGGTAAGGAAAGTATTTAAGGATTATAGTAGAAGCAGTAAAGCTGGTGAACTGATGAGACAAGCCACCTATCTCTTCATACAAGATTTAACTCCATCATTGGTCTCCGAGGCTCTGAAAAAATATTTCACTAGATTTACCAAAGAAATAGATGAGGTACTGGCATGCACTTTTACATTTACTGTGTCTCCTTTGAAATAATGCTTATATATAGACGATGCAGAATTTTTATTATTCGAACATTAATTTTGTTGAAACGACACAAAAAGAGCAAAATAATGCCCGTCGCCGTGTGGGACTTGCATATTAATACGAATCCTCTATACCATTGGAATACTAAAGGTCAATGTTTCTTGCTTACTTTGTTTCTTTTAGAATACCCAAACTTTTTTCAATAATGTAACAGCGACGTATTAAGTCGTGCTGTAGATTGGCCTTTCAACATAGGTCATAACGTTGTATTGAAAGAAATAACCATTTTTATAAGGATAATAACTTAGATTCGTGAGAACTCCAGCTTCTCTTTGACCAAACCTCGTGGCTTTAATTTAATTTGATCATAACGTTCATAAAGAGATAACAACTTTAGATTCATAAGGAACACTAGCTTCTCCTTCATCAAACCCTATGACATTAGCGTTCCTTGATTATCCGTTATCCATCGACTGTTTTGACTGTAGAAGCATCTGTCTTGGGATTCTACCCGCGTGACCGCCATCATAGATTCGGAAGTCCGTATATAATACTATATTTACAGAAATAGAATTTTGTAATCGTTGTAGATCAGTCGATTGATACCCATATTTTTGGAGACGGACAAAGAAATGATTAAAACCCTGACAGCTGATGTCCACCAAACTGAGCAGAAACTGAGTGAATTTTATCCGCAACTGATTCATAACTGTACTCATTTGTGTTCTGAATTAGATTACTTTTATTGTAGGTAAGTCGTAGCTTACTTCTAATGAACGAGATGATATGTATATATATAAGTATATAATTCTGTATGTCAAAATTTAAAGTGAATCTAAAATCTCTTCATATAATTCTAGTTCCTTAGTTAGATATTATAATTTTTCACAGGAAATTGATGAAGGCCGACTTCCCATTTGATTCATTTGTTATCGAAAATAATCGAAAGCAAATAGGAGAAGGGACATTTGCTACTGTGTTTAAGTCTACTATACCTGGAACAAATAAGCCAGTGGCACTAAAAGTATGTAAGGAACCCCTAACAGAAGCGAACGTGAGTGAGGTGTTGTCTGAACACGCAGCATCCAGGTAAGTATTTGGTATTTTATATACACGCAAATTTGTGGAACAATAATCACTGGTTAAGGTTTACCAGAAAGACACCTGTCGACGAAAGAAACACGTCGCAACGCTGCATAAAACTTTAACAAGTGTACACTTACCAATTGCCATTTAAAGAGTTTGTTATACATGTATTGCTGTCGTGTCGATCCATGTGACATCTGTGCTCTTGTCGTTATCATATCATTTTGACAAACCAGCCTTACTATATAGAATATAGGATAGCTCTAAGTCTGGTCTGAAATTTTAACATCTTCAAAAATGCGACACTTGAATATGAACCAGGATTTCGAGAGTGTAACATGTCAAAAAACTCGTTCACATTAGAAATATCAGAATTTCAGAAATGCGATATTAAGAAAATGCCTTGATTCGTATTTTTTAAATATATTATTTTTTAGGGGACTCAGACACAGAAACATCATTTTGTATTACGGTTCGTCAAGAATTATCGCTTCAACACAGCTAAAATTTGTTATGGTGTTGGAATATTGTGTTAGAAATTTACAAGAGTTAATTCGAGCAGAAAGTTATTCCGTACCTAGCAAATGTGACAAACAGACAAGTATGCAGAAAGCTATGCTGGATATGGCTGATCAAGTCAAGCAGATTGCATCAGGTTTAGGATATCTCCACCAGAAAAGCATAATTCATAGAGATTTGAAAACTGAAAATATTCTGGTATGTATAACCTTTGAACAACACATTATTGTTTGTTGATATTATTGCAGTGAAGTTATTGATTGGTATGTTGAGAGGATATGACCCAAAAGTAAAGACGAAGTCCAATGATTCTGATAACCGATTTGGTAAATTTTATCTCTACTTGGTAGTAAGAGCTCATCCAAAAAATATATCTTTTTAATCTCAATCAAATTGTCATTAACAGGTGACTTCAGACAGAGTGTTGAAACTCAGCGATCTTGGACTAGCCAAAATTGGCTTAGCATCAACAAAACAGGTTGGATCACCAGTTTATATGGCACCAGAAGTCTTACTTGGCTCCAGTTACCAATATGGAAAGGAAATCGATATTTACGGCTTGGCAGTTGTAATGTGGGAAATGTGGTATGGACAAGACGTGGCAGATCATATCCAGATGATGTTGACGGGAAAGTTTGAGGAATGCGTTTCTCGTGGCCTCCGACCATCATTAACTCTCAAATGTAAACCACCTTCTGAATGGTCAGCTGTTATATCAAAATGTTGGTCACAAGTTCCAGCCCGACGTCTCACGTGCGCTGAATTAATTGATTTTTTCCACAAATTTTTAGAAAGGAATGGAAACTAATTGCATTTTAAAACAATCATTTTTCCTATTTCTAAGATGTTGTTTCATTTAAAACTATATTAACATCATTTTCTGTGCCAGTTGGTTAGATTTGATATAAAAATATCTAATTTTCTGCCGAAAAATTTATATAATGTCGCATATAATGAAAGCTGGCTAAAATGACGTATTCAGCTTGTTCACTCACAGAGTGTAATATAGAGCATAACATGAAATTCATATCTTACTACATGCATGCATGTCAATTAGCCCAGTCAGGAGTAAACAGGGCATGTAATTCTTCTGTAAACGTTGGTGCTAATTGAGTTTTCTTTTGTTTCCTTATTTGAACATGTTGAATCGCATAGTTTACACCCTAAAAGAGGTACATTATACACCAGTATGACATGTTATGCTCTATTAAATGTCACTTTTGTATCACAAGAAAAGATGAGTCTTGCTATAATTTTGAATTTTATTGTAAACAACCCAAATTCCACAAAAATTAAATTTATATAAAAGGAGTGCACTCAAACGTATAACAAAATATAATATATTATTTGTTGGTATGTACATATAAGAAAGTTTATAAATAAGTTTTAAGTGTATCGTTCAATCGTTTTCCATTCAAATTTAATCATGCATCATGCTTAGCTGATAAAAGAAGGGAAAACCTGTCAACATGTGTTGATTTCGCATTTGCCTTTATCCAAATATACTCTATGAACTTTTGTCCCATCCAAATGTATATGATTATACGTGCGGGCTCATAAACTGTCTTGGTCTTGGCACGGGCATACGAGGAGACTTCAGTCGGTCGTTTCCACCATACGGATAATCACTTGCGGATAATACAATTGAAAGGAAAATTAGTCTGATTGGATCATGACGGTCTGTCTTACACCTTAACTATTAAGAAACAAAAGATGCATAACTCTGATACTGACAAGCTTTTGCTCAAATAGAATGCTACTTTTTCCTCTTACTTGAAGGTCCTTGAACTGTGGGGCATAAAGAAAGAATGCTTGCTAATTTTGATACAGAGCAATGGGTCGTTCTAAGAGGTTATAGTTAATGTAGGACACAGTGATAGTACTGAGCAATAAGTCGTTCTATGAGGTTATAGTAAATGTAGGACACAGTGATAGTACTGAGCAATAAGTCGTTCTATGAGGTTATAGTAAATGTAGGGCACAGTGATAGTACTGAGCAATAAGTCGTTCTATGAGGTTATAGTAAATGTAGGACACAGTGATACTGCACTTGACTACACTTGTACTTAAACTAATGAAGACCTTTCAAATCTTATAAAACTAACAGAGTCTGTCCTTCCTCTCCAGTTATTACATTGGCTGACTGGCCAGCCACGGCATCAAAATATTCTCTCACAGGCACAATTTCACTTCGATAAGAATAATATAGATCCCAAAGAGGATTCTCACATTCGCTGTATTCCTCTTGTGGGTGGGTATTGATGAAACAGCCTGAACTGTTCTCAAAAGGGCGACATTGGAGTGCTTCAAGATGGCGAATAGATCGCATATGCATATCAGGCGTCATCTGATGATCAATTTGACTTCTAAGTACCTGTGATAACGATGAAGTTAAGGATCGATCTGGGGTACTATTGATATAAGAAGTCATATGGTGGAGTTGTCGAATTGGCTGTGGACTTTGCATGAACATAGGATTCGGAAGTCGGGGATTTTGTGGCAGGGGTGTCATCATTCTCGGTGGAGGATAGTTTGGTAATTCTGGTGGACCTCTGTTGTCTTTTTCCATCAGTTTCTGTATGGAATAATTCCTGAATATAGTGAAGAGGAAAATTAATAAAGGTAGATTTCTTCAAAAATTTACAATAGATGGTTGAATTAATTACCCTCGAATTTCTCCAGAGTAACAGTTTGTGTTGATAATCAATCATGCACAAAGGTATACATGTACCTACCCAATATGCGGCTTGCTTGATGACTTTCTCTTTGGACTACTGGTAGGTGAAACGTCATCGAAACCATTAGATGAGTCTCCACCGTCACCACCAGCATCAGTTAGTGTACCATCTCTGGTATCTCTTCTAGATCTCGCTCTGCGGTTCTTAAACCAATTCTAAAGAAATAACGTTATTATAAGCGTGTTATTATGACTTGTAAACTCACTGAGCCGAGGTCAAATCGGATTTGAATATTTACAAATCCATCTCTAAACTTTTCTGAGAGGTTCTTCTGGCTACTAACTGCTACCAAGAAATGTAGACGTGTTTTTCACGAAGATGTTCAAATGTTCTTACCTGTAGTCTTGTTTCGTTTATATCCATAGACATACATATTTTATCTATTGCTGATTTATCTGGAAAATTGTTACGATGGAAATGGGCCTCCAGAGTTTGAGTCTGCAAAAATAAAATAGCTTTGTAAGATTTGAAATCTTGATCCGTATAGTTTGATTTAGATCTTGGACTTTTCATTTAAACTTTTCATTTTGCAGTTCTTCGACGGTGACAGATGTTCTACAATGCTCGAAGTTACTGAAAGAAGGACAGTAGATCTCAATTCTTGTTCAAAATTCGTGGCAAAACATTATGATTGAAATCTTGGAAATCATCAAAGGCCGATGAAGGAATAAAATGTTCATACAACTCTTTCAGAAAGATCTTTAATTGTGCCACTTTTGAGAGCACATGCCCATGACTATATCAAGGGCATTTTTTGAAGTTAGGTAGTAGGGATATAAGCCGACATTGGTCCACCTCGTCGGTTTAAGATTTGGGCAGATTTCATCTAATATTGTTGATTACCTGGTAGGCAGTGAATGTTTGACGGCTTCTCTTCTTTCCACTACCATTAACTGGACTATCCGTAAATCTGCCATTGCCATATATATCCTTCATTTTGAATTTCAGATGCAGTATTTTAGTGTCCAAAATACACGCTACACAATTTAGACAATATATTATGTGACCATTTGCCAACTATTGGCATATAGAATGTGATCGAATGTAGCAAGAAGAAATGTGACATATGTGTCTTGCTCCTTAAAGTTGACTGTAATCCCTCTTTTTTATACAACTCTCTAAAAACAAGCTTCTATTATTATTTGTGCTTACATTTAACGGTTTCAGCGGATTAAAATTGAGTACAGTTTAATCCTAAACGTAATGACCACGGTGTGAGGGAAATTTAAAAAGACAAAAGAATCTATCGACCGAAACAAAGCCATCAAATGAAGCATGAAAAGTTTTCTTTATCCTGAATAAAGTGTTAAAATCGTTCAGTGGTTCTATCATCAACTAGAGAGTTTTGGGTGTGGACAGAACGGGACTTCACACTCCATACCAAAGAAAATGTTATAATTTTTGGGTCTGTATGACACGAGCCAAATGATTTATAAAATGAATATTAACCGCATCAGATAAATTCTCGGTTTATGTGAAAGGAAATGCTATGTGTTATGTGCAATAGCACGGTTGGTAATGGTATTCAGTCGGTATCATCGAATACATGTATAATATGAATTGGTGCCAATGAAGAAGTATAATAAAATGTTATTGGGTATGGGAAGAACATTAGGAAGCTAAAATAACCGGTACAGTTACAGTCACATAATCATGGAGAGCATACAGGATCATATCACAAAGTCAAGCTATTACGACCTTGACACCAATAGCCGCCTTTTTTCGCTACAGCGAATACAGCTAATCAGAGCCCTCGACAGACTGACTGTAAATATTATGACTTAGTGCTTACAGAATTTTTGTCACGGTCTCTATAGCCGCCTTTTTTCGCTACAGCGAATACAGCTAATCAGAGCCCTCGACAGACTGACTGTAAATATTATGACTTAGTGCTTACAGAATTTTTGTCACGGCCTCTAGTTTAGAATCCAATTGAATTACTGCATCTTCGACTTCATTGATACAAGAGAGGGGGCTATTGGATTTAAGTATAAGCCAAAGGTTTTAATAGGTTGACATTGTGAAGAAGAAAGGATCATGAGCAAACCAATTGACTTGACCCCTTTCAGTCTAGATGTAATTTAGGCTTTTTGTCATCAGATGAAATGAAGGAGGGGGAGTAATTCCATTTCATCTGATGGCGAAGTGTGTTGAAATGTACTTTGTTATCAAAGTGTGTTATACCATGATATATCCTTCTTTGTTTTTGTTCGTGATCTCCGCTTCTAAATATCGTTCAAATCTGGTGTAATTTAGGCATCAGATTCGACATCTTTACAGGATGCTGCTCAGAATCACATTGATATCTGAGTATTCTATGTTAAAGATTTACGTTTCATTTGTGTTGCTGTCAGGGATGACCAGCAACAGCTTGAAGCACACTGTCTTGGAAACTGATGCTTCGCACTTGACCCAAAGCACTCCTGCAACACTTGAACACACTCTATATTTTAAATTGACCAGAAACTATGGAGCTAACAAGGTCCGCAGATTAATCAATTGGATCTGTTTTACGAGCATTCGAAAGTATCTTGATGAAGGGAAGTAACTCTGTATAACATTGACCATCAACAAGGAAAATATGCAGTATTTAATAATGTTCCCCATTCAACATCCCTTCAACCCTTTGGTATATTATGCCTCTTCGTACATTTTTTGTCGATTTCTTGAAATATGGAAATAAACAACGCGATGGTTCGCACAAGGACTAACTTTTGGATTCAATTTCAAAGATGAATACGAGGAACTGGTGGCAACTGCGATTTTAAGTCGTCGGTGGTCTAAGTTTGTTTTCATCCAAAGACTTGTGAAATTCTTTGAGCTGTCAGTAAATCCAGGTGATCTTCGAAAGTCGACCAGAACCCTATTTTATTGTTAACTTGAGAATTGAGGGTTCAATCCAGATATGGCTGGTGCTTTAACTCAGCTCACCCTATAGGTTGGAGGGAGTTGATGTGGAAAGGTCTCAAGTCATGAGGATGGGATATGCCTAATTAACCAAGAGTATATGTATATGTATTTCAGTCTGTATACGTTGAAAATCCGGCTTGATTAAGGTTTATTTGTCCGGTCTTCAAATGTTTTAATTCAAAGCTTATGAAAATGACGAAATCTGATCTTTTTTTCCTCAAATTTATGAGAACTATACACCAACATATCCGGCAGTTTTAACTTAAACAGTCCAGCCCTTTGAACGTCAAACAATTTTAAAGGTTTGAGTTTACGTTATGCTATTTGGAAGCTGTCAGAAAACTACTGTATGGATTTGAGTAAAATAAACGAATACTTTTCTAATAATAAAATTGAGCCATTATTCAGCCAAACACTACAACCAAGACAAACTGCTCAATTACCTATTGGTACGATTTGATTTTAATTAACCCTTTTAAAACGAATTTATAAAAATAAAATAAAATGATTTTCCTGAAAACCAATTTGCTCTTCGTCTCATTTTATGTTGTACCTGGATGTAACGAAAATCAGAAAAAGCGCATATTGTTTTTGGCTTTATGTATGCCGATAACTGTCAAAATAACTATCGAAAGTTAGGTCATGGGTTGTCTGGTTCTGATAGTAAGTGTGAAAACGTATGAGGTTATAAAAGTTGTAACATCCTGGTCCAATATGGTCCGGTTTATCCACCTGAGTGAACACGAAAGGAGATATAAATTATTCTTACAATGTCTATAATTAAAATTGATAGGAACTAATTGATCAAAAGAAGCGCCTTGAATTATGATGAACCTCATAGTAATGGCTTTAACAACATGTTTCTTATTCATCTTTATTGATCCACCTCATAACTACACGATACGTCTCCATATTGCTACATTTTTTTGAAAAATTATACATTGTTTTTGTTATTAAAATATTAATGAGAGGTAAACTTCTGGAAATTTACACAATGTAGAAAATATGTTCAGGCCATCATATGCTGAATTTTGTAAATAAATAATATTCACTTTTTGTACTCCTAGGGTCCTATATCTTATACGTTAATAAAAGATATCACCTTGAATCTTTCAAATGTTCGTCAAACAATCGCAAGGACATTACACAGAAATTGGAAATGTAAAAATATTTCGTTAACACATGTTCATATGTACCAAATACCCTAGCGAACTGTCAATGTTGAATATTGGTTGTTAGCGACTACTATTCATGCAAATTGACTGAACTCTACAAGCTGTAGAATTCACCAGTTCAGTGAAGCGAAACCTTATCAAAAATCAGACTGAGAACAAAGGCTGACCAATGAGTGGTCCGAGTGAGTGGACAATGAACGAACCCGACACTCCACTCATTACAACGTCGTGTGTATATTGAACAATAAGTCTGACAGTGTTGATATCGATTTAAGCCAGATGATGACCAAGTCCAGTTGACCACATGTCACTATTTTCGACCTGACTATATAGGTATAATTGGTCAGTATAGTGGTCATTCGGAGACTGTTACGTCATAATATGACAATATCCACCTGCTCGGTACAATAACTCTTAGTTACACTCGTGTGGTCTTCATTTTAAGGCAATCGACTGTCGTGTGCTCTTGGCTTTAGTCTAAGGAAGGAAACAGTCTCTCTGTGGATAACGTTCGAGAACTGAGAACTAAACAAGGAACATTAACGAGAAGATTTTTGAAGATTTTAATCCCGGTGAGTACAACTTTAAGAAATATGTTTGAGATGGCTTTTACTGCTAATTAATGTGAAACTTATTTCTGAATAAGAAATCATTTGTAGTCATTGGAACAAGGAACTAGGCCCTAGTCGTTTATGTTTACATTTTGAAATAGACGCTGGAAAACACAGCTGTGCTTGCGTTTAACTGTTACAAAAATTTAAATTCTTTAATGATAATATCTGGATATATGGCATTAAACAGAAGAACGAATTATAAATGTAATTTCCCTTCGGCAATTTATCAACTAATGTCATAAAAAGCAAATAATTAATAAGATGTCAATAATATATTTGAAATGTTTACGATGGAGATCATTCAAGCGAGCTTAAAGGATTATTACGTCAATGTAACCCGAACCTTAATTTAATTGACCCCCAATTAGATAAATGATTGATGTGGTCGACATTGTTGATTTTGTTAATTACCATCCCTTTAATTATATCTTTAATCAGATCGTAAATCTCCATGTCAAATTTTGACAGAAAGGTCTTTAAACAATAAAATTTGTGAGAATTTCCTTTTTTTGAAAAAAAAAATATGGTAGATACCCTTTTATTGGCTATAATCTGAATTATTTCTCATAATATTGATAGATTTCATAGAGTTATGAAGATAGTTTGAACTCTAAAACTCCGAGTTTTCCTGAAATACAAGAAATTGTTCAGGTCGGTAGGGGTTGTTTTTATTATTTTCAAGGATTTTTAATTAGATATTATAGATAAAATATACCAGTGCTTTTACGTAAGATATTTTCATACAATTTTCACTCTTTAACAAACTTATGTACAATTCGGGATAATTGGAAATATGTCGATATACAATGTTACTATAATGAACATGTTTGGTCTGGATTTGGGATTAGCAGAAATGGGACTCTCGATCATTTTTGGTTCTTTCTGGAAGATGAAGCTTTCTAGCCCCTTGACCTAAGGAAACAATACGTCATCACAACGTCCAATATACGATGATATTGTACAATGAAAATTTTATTATAGGGATTGATATTTTCTGTAACATCAATAACATAAACATGGCCATATTATATACTAAATGTAGATTATAATGTACGACGTTTCGACAATGGTACATTACACCTAAATTTATGTTACTACAGTAATAGCTATTCTAATAACGTCAAGTTATTTCTTTATTACCGAAAAAACTTTGACGTCTTAATGTTTATTATCTCACATCATCCTGTGTCTAAGATTGAACATGGAATAGCCTTGAGATGACAAAGCAAGGCGAATGTAAAATCAATATTCATGTTAGCATCTCTGTCACATCACGTCCGATTTTAATGACCAAACCCTGCTAACATATCAGACTTCTCCAATTCATTAACGAGTACATTTGCTCATCTTTGTTGGAAACCGTCACGATTTCTTTCTTGCATTATTTGATTTAAGTTTTTATGAAGGCGCTTTGAATGGACAAAGAACCATGACGAGAGATCGGAATATTATATGAAGATTATTCTACGTCTGCGATACAGCCTACGTCAGACCTACGAGTTGTGTCATAATAGACACAAATTTGTATGTTATTTGTATTACTTTGACACTTATTCCATGGACATATTTTGAAATTGAAAATTGGAATGAGGTCGCACTGACCTTTGACATCAATAGTCGTGGAATCAAAAATTTCTTGCGAGATTAGTGGGTTATGTACTTTGTTAAGAGCATTGAAGTAATTACTATAAATTACTCAAGACTATTATATTCTTTATTTATATCAAATTACGTGCTAATAAGCTTCAACAAAACAGAATATTAACGACCCATCAGTCGTGTTTATTGTAAATACAACAATGATAGAAATGAAATGAAATGAATAAAGTTTTCGGCCCTACTTTTCTGCACCAACATGATAGAACGAGCCCCAGATCTAACACTTTTGTCCTCGGGGGTTTTTGTCCTGGTACAAAATTGCAGAGACTTTTGTCCGTAGGGGCTTTAGTCAGCCATTCTTGGATATAGTCCAAGGCAGTAACTGGGAAAAAGTTCGTTGAAATATATATTCAACTTGATCTCATTATTTTTATCCATTATCATTATCGTATTCCAGTCCTTGCAAAATCGTTCGAAAAAATAGGTAAATCACGTCATGTTTTTTATTACAGATAGCATAATAAATTATCATATTCAAGACTTTGCTAAATCGGACTATCGCTCAGGAAAAGAAAATAAGTAAAACAGGTTATGTCTTTAAATGCAATGATTACAGATAGTATAATAAATTATCCATTATCATAATCAAGACTTTGCTAAATCGGACTATCGCTACGAAAAAGTTTTTTAATGCTATGATTACAGATAGAATAATAAATTTGTTAAAACTACCTATACATAAAGGATTCATTTTAATGTTTAAACAAAACAGTGAGAATAGAATTAAAACCCACCAGTTAGTTAAAGAAATGATTTTGATTTGGTACAACTCATTGAAATTTTTGTGAATAGTTAATGAACCAGTGGAGCTGGAAGCAGGAGGTCGTCGCTTTCCATTAATCAATCCATATCAACCATTGCTTTCATGCATGATAATTAATCAGCTGGTTGTGTCGAGAATAATAATGGACCAGATCTATCTGTAGTATATAATAACCACTGAACGTATTGATTTTAGAAACTGTACTTTGATAATCTCGGGGCAAAATGTGTGTACATGCGAATGTTATAAAACGTGTTTCTTATTCACAGACGACCTGACTGAAACCACTGTTCTAGAATATATTTTCGTCAACAATTCAAATTTTAATGCTTATAGGTATGTGAATAAAATATGAAGATCAAAGTGCAATATATCCATGATCTGACTATATTGTTATGCACCCGTTCTGGGCATTTTAAGCTATCATCCAATCAAGAGAAGATGTCCTAACAATATTCAGTGGCCTTTTTGTTACATTAGAAAACTTTTGATTGATTAGAATGAATTTTTGATGACATTGGACCAAACCCTCACAGAATATGATTTCAAGAAAAATCTGTCAAGATCATGGATTAGTGTAGTAATTTATAGAAAGAAACCCGAACAACTAGAGAGTTTTATTTAAAACAGATTGATATTCGGCGATATGTACATAAACATTATTTGATTTATAAATATGAACCCATCTGATTTCAGATTAACAGAAACCGCAAACTCACAAGATGAAGACCAGAGCTCTTCCTACCCACAGGTCAAATGATTATCTGGACATGAAAACAGAAGGGGTGAAGAAAAAACGTAACAGAGTGCACTACTCTGCTGATCAGGTAAATATTTGGATTTACAAGCCTACTTTGTTGGTGCCATGAGGTTGGAAAGTCGATCATGGTATACTTTTTGATGATACCAAGCATGTCGTGTTTTCTCACCAGTTTGCGACAATAGACGCTGGGCATGCAAGATAAAAAAATTCCCGACAAAGAATAATCTAATCATTTCTATCCATTTCCCTGATTGTTATCTACAATTTTTCAATTAAGTCTACATCTCATGTGATTATTAAGACATGTGGTAATTATCCACAAAATATATCAGGATCAAAATTATCTGGCTGCTGAAGAAGACTCTTTTCGTTAACACTTGATATTTATTAGTTGTCAATAACATATTTCGGTGTATAATGACGTTTACTATTATTGTATTGAATACTTTTTATAGATTCGTGTATTTGAAAGATTATTTGTCAAGAATAACTTCCCAGATAGAGAAACTTTAGAATCTATATGCGAAGATATGGACATCAGTCATAAAAACGCACAGGTTTGTATTTTTCTTCTCTTTCCGCAAAACAAAATCCGTAACAATCAATACCAGATAGATGTCTTTATATTTTGAACATCCTGTCAGAATATGTTACTCCAATTTAAATGCAATTCAACATCATATTATTTTAAATAAATACATTTATGCAATATGCGAATATGAATTATATATTTCAAAGATTTGAGAGGCTTCTGCAGCGCTACCACATTTCGACAATTTTACAGTTGCTCTCCTCCAAACCCCAATTAAGTCAGTCTGGTCCCTATTTGCACCCCAAACTCGACAGGCTGGCACCGTTACTTGATGTCTCTATAACACATGCATCTGATCTTCCCACAGACAACTGAAATTAACAATCGTCTCAACCATTGTAGATATTCTCGATCTGAACGTTAACTGTTTATTAATCAGCTTTTCAAATAAACAATATAAGAATATTTATTCTGTTTCTTCCAGGTTTGGTTCCAGAATAGAAGGGCCAGATCTCGCCGTGATCCAAACGATGTCAGTTCTCCACGAAAACCACCATCACAGTTTGACAGTGATAGTAATTCGCCGTGTTCCTCACCTAAACCTAGAACAGCCCCTAAGCTAGATCTGTAAGTTCTTTTCGTTGTTCTTTTCCTAAGTTTCGACGTTTTCCTCGATTGAAGTTGCAATGTGGGCCAATTTACAGGATTGGTGAAGAGTTGGAAATGTACATTTATTTTAAAAAGTTATGATCAAATGAAGTTCATAACAAAGACTTACTCCCGATATTGGTATTAATGGAAAAATTTATTCAAGAAAATCCACATAACTTTAGTTAGGATTTAGTCACAATTCCCGATTTTATATGAAGCTGACACTGACATCCTGAAACTAGGACAAAATAAGTCCGTGATTTCAAGTCATGATATATACATTACTCCAGGAATTAATAAATATTTAGCTTTGGGTGAAATTACAAATTATATAATCTGAGTTTATATTTTTCCTTTTAGGGCTCAGGAGAAATTAGTTACGTTTGTAAAGAAACCAATTGGGAATTCAAAATGGCATGAACCAATTAGAAGCACATTTTTGTCTACACAACCAGAGCTTCGATCTCCAGAGCGTCAGATGTATCAACCAAATATCAGCCATCCATACATGTTTGATTATAATTCATACCAACCAATCAATCACGACGTACCATTTTACTATCAACCAATCAGAACAAACGATTCATTAGTGCCTCTTCCGGAACCAGAATATCCTATTTCCAGCATTTTAAATGAAACGAACAGTGTAACTGGAAACCAATATAATAATGATTACGGACATTCTTGCTATAGCACATCTGGTGAACTTGGTTACTATGGCAACTCGGAATCTGTTACGTCACAAGTGCGAGTGATAGCTGATGCTAATAAGACTTTGATGGTGCTTTGAATTACAAACTCCTGTTCGTGAGAAATCATATTTTACGTCTTTCACTACGCAGCATTGTCCAATATTTGAGAAAACCGCGAAGCATGTGATACAGTAGACGAATTACATATACCATTGTGTGTTGGTGATGAAGGCATCAGACGATCCATTTCATTTTTTAAAAGGAGGTTCCTGAAATCAATAACTATGACCGTACAATCTCCATATATGGTGTGTTTCAGTTATTCCTGTATGATTGAGAGGGAATGAATCATTCATATTTTTATTTATATATACCCGTCCAAATTAACAATCCCAGTATCTGAGTATGAAACAAACTATTCTTAGATTCAATTGCACGATATATTTACAAAATAATAACAAACTGTTTAATAACAAAATATAATTTATTTATATTGAGGCAGCTAGTCAAATACAATATTTATTTATAACATAATTACAAACTAGTCCATATGAAAAATATTATATATTTATAATCTGGCAGCAAAATTTGTTTAGAAATGATTACAAACTAGTCCAATACCAAAATATACATTATTTATAATGTGGCAGCTGATCATATCAAATTTATTTGTTTATAAAAAAAAATACCAATATCTTGTTTATAACATAATAACAAACTAGTCCCAATACCAAAATATGTTTTATTTATACTATGGCAACGAGTCAAATTTATTTGTTTATAAAAGAAATACCAATATCTTGTTTATTTATTAATGGCAGCTAGTCAAATACAATTTTTATTTATAATAAAATTACAAACTAGTTCATATGAAAAATATAATATATTTATGATCTGGCAGAAAAATTGGTTCAGAAAAAATTACAAATTAGTCCAATACCAAAATATACTTTATTTATAATGTGGCAGCGAAAATTAAAATTGTTTAGCACCCAAATAAGATATAGTAGTAATAGTAATTTCACAACTAGTTGATTGCCTGTAGAATTATGGTCTGCGTATATTTTCAAATATCGACAAGAACAGTTTTCGTATATTCACAAATATAGTTGTGTTTCTTTAATGTACGGGTTATTTCAATAGGAAATCAAAACCAACCTTTATGAAAAATGATTTTATTTATTCACACACACTTATTAAATCTAATACATTATAAAACGCTGATATACCAAGCTGTGTGTGTTAACTGAAATTTGCAAAATCTTATTTGATAAATCTATTCCTGTTATTTTATTACACTCCAAAATCAAAATCTATGTTTATGTGTTTGTAAATTATGTAAATGTAAATGTGTTTGTAAATAATCTATGTTCGTTCATTTTATTTATATATTTATTTTTTATATGAATAAAAATACGTTGTTACATTTTCTTTGTTCGCCTTGTGTACGAAATGTGGGGTTCTTCCCAGCTAGCTCCTGTTGAGCATGAGGTTATCCTAAGAGGCATAAGTAAAAATGTTCTTGATAAAAGCTATCGGCGTGCTCTTGACAAACTCTTGGGCCACAAATCAATAACAAAAAACAGTTAAACCGAAATTTGGTAGCTCAAAACACCGAAAATGTCATTTTTATCTCCTAAATTTAAGAAAATGATAAATGTTTATTGTATAAAATATCAAAACAGTACTACAGGTGCAGTAGTCGCTCTTGTTTAGCATGTGTTTATGCTCTAATTGATAATTACAGTCTAAAATAAAACATTTCAGCTGAAGAAATATGCATTGACATAGGATGGATCAAAATGGGTCCCTGATGAGTCGCCATCTTATACGTTAGTCATTAGTTTCACGATATAACAGATTCCCACAATCAATATGTCAATAGAATAGGCAATATATTCCTTTCCTTTACATCTGGCAAATGTTGATTCCCATTGAGAGGTATCAATGTTCATTCTGCCAGAACTTGACTGTACTGTCATAATATTAAGTTGTGTAAGATGAATAGTCTCAAAAAAGCATTGGCCCGAGTCATAGAGCAACAGATAATATTAGTTTGAAATTAGAAGTAAGTCCAGTGTTTCTATACATTGACAGTGTTTCCGGATGTCTGGTATTCAAACTGTGGGTACAAAAGACGTGAAACAGCTCGGACGCTGATTGATTTGTGTCAAACAGTATTTAAAATTAGAATAAGTATGGTGACTGATTACAAATACTCAAGCATAAGGTCTCATAGTTCCCTTAATGATACTCAAGACTATTCCCTTCTCAAATATTACACACTACTATCACTGATATACCTTTCACAAATAAATTTTCTTGGTTGAATGTCATTAAGCGAATCAATCCACAACCAATCGGCTGCAGGCCCTCGGACCATAAGCATGTAATCAGAGGTATCTGTTTGATTTTTAGGGTAACCTGTTCTCCAGTTATTGGTGGACACAAGATCTCCATTAACCCACTTCCATACACCCTCTGTATTCGCATCTGTAGCACCCAGGAAGTAACTTTGAGTATTAAGCACTGGATAACAGAAAACACATTAATTAGTGGCGAGGTACCCACAAAAATGCAAAAATCTTGACAAAGATGAAGATCAATTTTGTAATATCCGATTTTTTTTTATAAACGCTTTACCATCAAAAATGAAAGCTTGAAAATCTCGATCGAGTATTTTTCAACTTTTCAAAACATAAACCAAGACAATCCAAAAACCTTAATTATTTTACATGATTACTCAATAAATATCATTCAACTAATGTTTCTACTGGACTACATGATGTGCCTATCACCTAGAAATTGACCCTAGTAAAATGATATGTGTAATCTTACCAAAATTCGACTTTATTTGTCGCTTAACGCGTTCTAGAAAAAGGGCCGTTTCCGTCACCAATAAATCTTCTCCATTGCTTACACAAGACTGTTTAGCCAAATCGAAAGAACCAACCAATGTATTAACAACATCGTAGCATTTGTTGTCGAGTCTATCCCAAACATAATCAGTGCACTTCTTTCCGGCTGGAATTGAAATAACAATTCAAACGATCTTGTTCACATTTAGGCGTATGTGGCAATATTTTGTCATGGTAAAGGGGATTTTTGATAGATTTGTGCTGAAATGATGGCATCATTGAACATTAGATCAATTACGGCTGCTATTTTTAAAGTGGTTAAACATATGAAGCTGTTATTTGGTGAAATGATATGTTATATCTCTATAATAAGGTTAAAATATAATACAGGTAGTCCGTGATTTAACAAATGCTACGTCAATGTACAAACTTCGCAGATAAACCCGTAACATTCGATCTACTGACATATTTCTCGGCTTACTGAACTTTGTTTTTAAATGAGTTTCAAATATTTAGGATTGTTATGCTTGAGCATTGATTTTTTCAAACCATACCACTTAGCTATGCTGTTTGGTATGCATGTGGCACAATTTCATAAATTTCACTTAAATAACGATATAAGAAACAATTCTGTACGAGTTTGTACTTTAATCATGAGTTTAACAAGCTACATTTTATACAGGTACCCATATTTCACAGTAGAAACTAAAATCCAGGAGAATTTAAAATCCCCCCTAGGACAAGGTCCAATTCCAAGATCTGACCATTGCGCTATACTGACGTGCATTTTTCTAGTTTGTACGATTGGGTGGTTGTGAATTGATACCAAACTTAAAAACAATTCGATTTAAATTCGTCTCGAAAACTCAAAAATCATCATCTGGCAAGGAAACAAAATATTGAAAAAATGTCAATATGGTATAGGGCGAATATTGACTATAATGAACACGTCTTCATAGGATACATCATCACAAGAAGCTTTTTTTTTAATCTGATATACTTACGGTCTTGCAAGTTATAATATCGAGCCCCATTATCATTTATAAGCTGTGTCGATTGAACAAATTGTTTCAATAATTTCACACCCAAAAGTTTGCACATTCCAGTGAATCTGTTGGAGAAAAATGAAATACATTCAGCGTCACTTAAGCAATTTTTCTGACAAACTATAATCGTGTAAACATTTGTGTAATTTTCAAGAATGCCTTCTTCCACATACATGTCGTTATAGTCGCTATCAATAATGAAATTGTGATTTGTCCATCCACAGGCTGTGCTGTCACAGATATCCAAATGTTGAGATAATAATAAAGTGATTAAAAGGAAGACGAAACCCATCATTTCACAGTAAGTCCTTCTTCAATTTTGCTAGATGTTGAAAACTGGCAAATTATCGACGGCTTATGCCTAGTTACTAAATGATTTCTTAAACTACGTCAATGTGTCCTACTATCCTGCTTATACCTTGAACGGCGCGCGGATATATAGTCAAGTAAAAGATCAAATCAGAGAGTCCGCATAAGAAATGTCCACGAAGAAGAGAAAACTACTTTTTTATATAAATAAATCATTGCACTTTTGTCAAAGTTTTGTAGTTCTACTCTATAGCTGGACAATGAACTTGTTTTGAGATAGGTGTTTAGGGAATCTATACCTCAATGATGGCATCAATAAAATATTACTTCGGGGATGTGTCGGTTCTTCATGACATTTTATCTACTCTTAATACCACCCGTACTCAGAGCTGTACTTAAGTTACTTTCAATTATTCAAAAGAAATAACTACAAAATACAACCCGTTGACATGTGGATCAAGATCAGTAAAAGTTCCTGCTCTAAAGTTAGTATACGAATGTATTCCGAGTTATCCCCATGTTTCGTATGTAAAGACATGCCAATGGTTTAATCAGAGTATGCCCAGTACCCTTACCCCTTCTACCTAAATGGGCATCTTCAGGGTTTTGGATCCATTAATTGTACACATGGTTCTGATTTTATTTGGAAATTTGAAATATGATTTTGTGATTAATTTTATTTAATCTATAGAACAATAAACAATAATAACTTTATCAATTGACCAAAGAACATTTGCAGATGGTTTTATATTAGTTGAATTGATGTACATAAGTCAAAAATATTATAAGTCAACACAGAGAACCTTTTGTACAGAGCCGTAAGTCTATTTGATACGCATTATTACTATTTTCACTTCACAGAAATGCTGTTCACAGAAAGTTTCTTCAAGTCGACAGAAGACATTCTCACAAAGATACAAATAACACGGATTAGCACTGAGGTGATTTAAAAACATAAATTGTTCAACGATTAAAATAAAAAGAAAGTGACAAAATGTAACGTAAACTGCAACAAAAGATGCTATTTCAACAAATGCATCATGCGACCACCTTCAGTCATCAGCCACTGCAACATTCTAGATGCTGGTAGATTTTCACCATCCGGTGATGCTCCACGGGACCGATCTCCATCTGCATCAGTGCCTTGTTCCGTTTTCCGTTGTAACATTGCTCGTAGCTGAGGAGTAGAGTCTGCTTTCGATGGAGGTTGGGAGGTGGACGTGGAAGGTAGCGAACTTGTAGCTGGTGACGATTGATCCAGGGTCAAATTGGCTTCAGAGAGTTTGTGATGTTTGCAATTTTTGTTGAGCAATACTGACCAATTCGAAACGGATACCTCCGCTTTACAATGCTTACAGTAAATCACAACCGTTTTATTTCTTAATTTAAATAAACAACCACTCAACGGACAGGTTAGATGTCTTGTATGAGCGTGAGATACAGCATTTGAATAATCCGTAAATTTAGTAGTACACAAACAACAGGCATACATCCACGGAATTTTAGATCGTTCTAGGACATTTCGAAACGTCGCCAATAAGGTGCTCATCACATCATACCCTTCTTCATTATCATATTTCTCAGTAAAAATGTCACACTTTTCCAAATGGCGCACGAAAGTTGTAAATATCGAATGACGAAATCTACACCTTAGAGATGGACAAATGAAAACATAAGTGTTCGAGATCTCTTCCCGAAGCACCAGGTTTGCGTTAGGGTGTGCGCGGAAAAGATGATTCTTTGTTGGCTGGAATGTTAATTGAACCGTACTACAGTTCGGACAGGAATATACAGCCACCTTTTTCCGCTTTTTTCCCTTGCCTTTTTTGGTGTACGACCATTCCTCACCAGAACTGTAATTTTTAGTCGGCATATAATCGGCGTCATCATCATCATCGTCATTGTCGTCTTCTGATTCGTCAGTAAGACACGAATCTACAGAATCATTCTTATTTCCCGATGTCATTCCATCCTGACTTCCTTCACCAGATACAGATGAAGCTGTCGATGATGACAAGATTTCTGGACACTGCAGCATAGTCCGCAAAATCGGAAGATTGGCTGGACCTGGTGATGATGATTTCTGTCGATTTACATCGTCCTTCCTCAATAATGTGGTAAGAGATTTTTCTTCAGCAACTTTTGAATAGTTGGGTTGATTATCAACATACGAATCATCTACAATTTCCATTTTAACGACAGGCTCTGCTGGCACATTGTGAGTATTCCCAAGAGGCTCACTTGTTGGAATGGAATTGTCTTCTGTTGTCAAAATAGTTCGTAAGTATGAACCTTGCGTGTTTTCAGATATGTTATTGTCTTTTAGCTGTATTTGGGCAGCTTTTGTCATTTCGGTGTCATAGGGATCAGCATGACCTGACAAATCATTCATTTCATCAGATAACTGTGATAACGTATTTCTAAAGTGATCCATCCTTTGAATAACAAGTGAATCAGAAAGAGACGTTGAATCCACTGGTAGATCATTGTGTTTTGAGTGCGGCACTTCAACTGAAGTTTCAAGCAATTCTCCGTCAGGCTTTTCAAGTTTTATCTTTTTCAAAAGTACAACCTCGCTTTGTTTAGCTTCTAGTTTAAGCGGGCGTTTTAAATTAGCAAGTGCTGCTTTTTGATTTGTTCTGTTGTTTTCTTCAATTAAGCTTTGATCGCTATTAAGGACGCAAAACCAAAATAAACGAAAATTTGTTTCATTTTGATGATTGTTCTTACTGTGTTTTAACACTTCACATCGCGTAAAAGCAGAAAATTCACAAAATTGACAATGGAACCTGTGACAGTGCAAGTGATCTAACATTTCCGATTTCTGTATCGTCTTGTACGAGCAATAATTGCACCAAAAATATGGTATATCAATGCACAACAGGCTTTCAGGATGCTGGATGTTCCCGGTACATGATAAGGCACTGATTAGATTACGGGAAAGCAATTCAACAAACTTGGTTCCAGCTACTTCCTCAAAACTAAACGTGTTGTTAAGCAGGCTAGTATCACTGACTGATTCCTGTTTAAATGGCAATTGTGGTATATTGATGGTAGATGCTGCACCTTGATCGCCCATGATGATTCTCGCAGTCTAAAACACTGCTCAACTACTGCCGACAATGAGTTCACTTAGACCTGAAAGTGGAAAATGATCATGAAAGTAATAATAATCATTCTAATAGAATTTATTTCAGATTCATTGATCATTTCTGTTTACAGTAACCACCCATATATATCTTATAAATGCTTAAGCTTATGGCTTAAAAAGGTCATTACGTCTTAACAAGTATAACAACGTATAAAAGTCGTGCAGTCTGACAAGTAAAAGTGCAACCATTTGCAGCTTTTTTAAAAATTGGAGCTTTGAAAAAACGGTAACCGTTGCCAAGATTAAATATACAGATCAAATGGGTTTCCAAATTGTCAGCATCAATTTGCACCATTCCAATCGAAAATCGTTGCTTTCATTACATTATTTTTCGGTCAATATTTTCTCTTTTTTTTTTTCAGTATAAGATTCTGAGGTTTTTTATTTGTGCACCATTGAAATAAGTTTTGCTTGTGAATCAGGACATTTAAAACATCTGATGTCATTTAGCGAAAGTGTCTGTCATCTCGGCAGCTTTTTGGCGTGTCCGCATATTTCATAATCTTAATGATATATCACAGCTCTAGCTCTGATGACCTGAATATTATTGAAACGCAATTATTTCTGGTTTAAAATTTTTTTGTCAAATACATTGATTGAGATTGATGATGAGCCTGTAGCCTCGGTTTATTGTCCAATCCGAACGACTAGACGCTTTTTCCATGTCAGTCCCTCCTACTCGCATCATTGATAGGGGAAAACCGGGTTTAAAATCGGTATAATCTGTGGATGCCCGAACCTTAAGATTAACGAGAAAGTGTCTAACTCACTGAGCCACCGCTCTGGTATAAGTTGACTATTAGATATACTCTCTAATAGAACACTGATCTAGGGCACAAGTAGAGACTGTGGATTTCAACATTCGAATATATCAATTTGTTTTCAATACGCAACATTTTCCAACATCTTCTCACTAGATATATTAGATAATTGTACACAATGAAAGAGAGGAAGTCAAAGTTTTTTCCAATTTTTTAAAACTATGCAGTCAAATAGATCAATATTCTCTGTTAATTGATTATCCTTCAAGGACCAAAGATAAAACAGTTTATCATCTATAAATTATGAACATTGTTCCTCGAACAGAAATAAACTATCTTACGAACGCTCTTGGTGCCGACCAACGGGTAAACATGTACAGTGAAAAAAAAAACATCATGGTTAATGAAGCATTATTATTTTCGTATTGACAACTGCTATCAAAGCTAGGAAAGTAGTCCAACTTATCGGTTAAAAAACATCGAAGAATATGGTACTCGTGTACTTCAGACTCGTATTTTCTTATTGGTCATTACGCATCCTTTTTTTTTAAATTCAAATTGGCCCTTTGGTGAACGACATTTTCCACGCTTGAAATTTCAAAGGCATTTATACTATGTTTTCAAAGTAAAAATCTAGCGTTGATCAAGCTGTATTCAGATTTACTCTCCGACGAGTTAGCTCCCTTATTTCACAAATAATTCAATATTAAATTTTCAAATGCACACTATTTATCTTTCTTTAAATGTCTTTGGGGTCATAGATTAAACAAGTTAAATGATTTAACCTTGACAAAAATACAAGATCAGTCATCCTTATCATAACGTCTGCAGTGAAGTAGTAGAGCAAAATTATACTGTAGCCTACTGAACATTATCGATCGAAAGAATGTTTAAAAATAGTACAATTCACCATAGCAACTGAACCTAATAACGATTCATATTATATACTGTTTTACAATTCATCTTCGAAATTTTTTGCTAAAAGATATAAATCCTTAGATTTATTTGATACAAAACACAGTGCCTTTGTTTAAAACTCAAACCATGTTGGCCGTTTGTACTACAAAAAGTAGGTCAACCGATAACTTGGCTACTCGACATGCCATATTATAACCACTGCTCTACTTTACATGTCTGTTGTCTAACACTGCCTGTTGTATTTAATGTGGATTTGTGAATCAAATTAAACAAGAATACTTACGTATTGGGTATTATCAAACGTTATCCGTGTCGTAGTTCACCAAAATCACTAAACTTCGTGTCTCAATACAAGTCAACAAACATAGACTAACATACAGTCCTTGACCTATAGGTTATAGGTCACGTTGTCCTTTATAAGAGAAGTAGTGAGTAAGGGTTTAAAGGTCGTGACCTTGACATTAATTAATGGCAAGTATTTTTAGATGATAATATACACGTAAGCCGTTATAATAACGGAAGGTATCGAATGAATATATTTCATTCCTGCTTTGACAAAGATTTATTGTAAAAGGTCTTTGGGCCTACATCAAAATTGGACTGGCCCAGCTTCGTCCCAAACTGTCAAACGTTTTATCATTTGGGGAAGTCATGATTGCCTGTGAGTTTCCTTGACATTTGTGTGGCCCCTACTCGGTCTTGACCGGATAAATCGTAAAAATGCCTTACTGCGGCGCATTGATGACAATGTCTACACCGAGCACGACTATTATTGGTTGAGTTTATGACGGGTATCTTACGAATCATTACGTCTCTGGATGACTTTCACTAGTAATTATCTCTAGATGCTGGACCGCTGTTGTAGAACCATTTTCAAAAGCATCGATAATGAATTTTTGCAGAGAATTGCTCATTCAGAGCACAGTAGTTTTTTATTTTTTAATGATTTGGTTGTCTTTCTTGGTATGTTAATCGCAAATGAAGGGAAATAACTCCTCGTTTCGTTCCCGTTACAAGGAAACTCAAAACAACAATGGGATTGCAGTTCATTACATTTAATTATTTTTAAATCAATATTTTCTCATTTTTTCTTCAGTATAAGATTCTGAAGTTTTCCATATTATTTCCAAGTTTAAAGATTTTTTTATTTGAGCACCATTTAAATAAGTTTGGCTTGTGAATCAGGACTCGTTCACCCATTCAAAACATCAGATGCCATTCAGCGAAATGATCTGTCATCTCAGCATTTTTGTTTACGAGTCTGCATATTTCATGTTAATGATATATCATAATTGTATCTAGCTCTGAAGATATTATTGAAACGCAATTAATTTCTGGTTCAAACAATTCCGTCTAATATATTGATTGATGATGTTTTCGTTGTATTAGATAGCTCTAGGTAATTTAGTAATTAGTTAATTTAAAGATGCCTTTAAACATCTTTTGAAGGGCCAATCGAATTTAAGGGTGGGTCTCTTTTATTTTTATATTACACCATTTTGAGTTTTTTAATATTTAGTATTGTGATATCCTTGGCACGCCTTCATTTAGCAATGTGGAATTTTTTGGAAACGAAGCAGAGCTTGCAAACAAAAACATATATTGGCTAAAGTATACGGGATTTACATAAACACAGCTATATGGAACAGCAATCACTAGTCAATGTTTTATGCGACATTTAGACGTGTTTCCTGTCGTCCTCATTGAAATAATACATACATACGGTCACTCAACATGATGTGGTCGTATTACATTACATAACAGGACAAGTTATTTATCGTGAAAAAAGCCGAAAGGCGAATCTTCATTACTTTAAAAACTTTGACGTATGTAATTACATCTTGGAATTTTCAAGTAAGCCTAATTAATATTATATAAATATTGATGATTTACTCTCTCTGTCATAGCAGTCTCAACTTTTCATAGCAAAATGAATTCTTTTTTAAGTGGCATCTTGATTCTGTTTACTGTCTTTAGGAACCATGTGCACGCTCATGGGTATATGTCAAGCCCACCTTCCAGATCATATATATGGCACGACCAAAAGTTCAAAGCGTTAGACCCACACGTTAATTACAACTATATGGGCTTAAATTGTGGCGGACTCGCAGTAAGTATTACGTCGATTAGTTTGAGAGTATTTACAAAAATTAACCGTTATCAGATAAAACTACACGCATGAATTTTGTGCAATGGCAAGCGTTCTGAGAGCAACACAAATTCTGGTGCACCTCTGGGGGTTGAACTCGGAACGGTTTTCAGAACAGACTCCATAGATCGAGGTAATGTAAATTGTTGATGTAATCATGATGCAATTCCATATATATACATGAATTTTAGTCGCACAGTTCGAAAACTGAAAATCCATCTAAAATATATTTGTTGATTTTCTTCCAGACACAAATGGCAAATGGTGGAAAATGTGGCGTTTGTGGTGATAATATCAACGGTCCGAGAGAAAATGAGTCGGGACCAGAAGGCAAATATGCACAGGGCATAATTTCAAAATGTTACGCTAGTAACAACGTAATCGATGTTGAGGTCCATTTAACAAGTAACCATCTAGGGTGGATGGAGTGGAGACTCTGTGAGCTAAATGACCCAGAGAAAACCTCAAACCAGGACTGTTTCGATGACAATCTACTGGAAATAGTTGGCATTAGTGGAGACAATTGGTACAGAGATGGAACCAGTCGATTGAAAATTGACCCCAGTAAGCAGAAATCTAACGATAATTTTTACGTATCGTTGTTCATACCAAATGATGTGAAATGTCAAGCATGTGTCTTACAGTGGATTTATAAAGCAGGTTTGTAGAATCTCATTGAAAATGGGAAAGATTTTCTCCAACCTATTCTGCAAGTTCAAAAACAATGTGCCGAGTGCTTCATACTCACCCTTCCAGAACACCAGATGCCGCTCTGTCTCGTGGGTTTATCAACTCGGCATAAGTTTCAATCTTAACTTTTATACTTTTTTACTTTTGCATAGCACAAGTCTGTTATGTTAATTAATAGGATCTATCAATTACTTGGAAATTATTGCGTCATTAATATAGATATGCAATATTTGAGATTTAGAAAAACCTCAAATTCTTGTGCGTGCATCATGCTTACTTTTAATATCTACTAGCACCACCGGTGTGTCCCATTCAATGTCTGTAGTTCCTATTAACACACAGACCAGAAACCTATTTTGAAGTCCACTAAGCTTCGCATTGATCAAACCAAAATAACTAACTGCACATCATATTATATTTATATACAGGTAATAACTGGGGTTGTGATAATATTGATGGTGTTAAAGCTTGTGGTATTGGCCATGGTGATAACCAAGAAGAGTTTAGAAATTGTGCCGACATTGCTATTAGAGATGCCTGTCCAAATGACGTTTTAGGATTGCCTTTGAATCAAATCAAATTAAAAAATCACGGGCACTCGATTGATTCAACGAACGACTTATTACATGTTTCTCAACTACCAGATGATGATACACAACATGATGCAAACGTCCATCGACATGAGCCCAAGGTAAATGCTAATCTTCAGCCACCAACTATGTCACCAAACAATCACGCAGGGCACACGAATAACAATCCAAGTCCTTCCATTTCACAACAAGATGCCCATGGAAGGCTTTTACAGGCCCTACAACATCACCTTCAAAGGTTCAACCCTACGAATGCACGTGGATTCAATCCCAAAGAGTCGGACCGTAATCACGAATTACCTGTTCACTCCACGATGCTGGGAACTGCACCTATTACATCAAGTTTTCCATCGCACAGACCTTCTCACAGTGGACACGTTGGTACATGTCAACTCGAGACGCAATCTTCTTCCTCAAATCAAAAGCTTAAACTCTTTTGCTCTGATAGAAATTGTCAAGTTGATTATGTAAATCAAGAATGCATTTGTTATTAACTAAAGCAGTGAATCATATAAGATTAACTATTTTTAAGTGCAGACTAATGGTGTTATAATCGACCAGTTTTAATCAAATCGACATACTGATTCATTGCTTGTAGACAGAGTAAAGCCACGAAGACATGCTGGTTGATCTAATTAACTGTGTTCTAAAAACACATGCCATATTAAGACGAGTTACTACCCTTCTCACGTGCTCTGATTAGTTGTGGAATAACATTTTTGAGACGTGAATGTACGAGGTATATCTTTCATATTCGATGATCAACCAAACGATACGTTTCCAAGGTACAGCTTTTTAAAACCATTTTTTTAAGGTCGACATTACAAAATTTTTAGGACGTTGTTCTGTATCCATAGTTCAATTTCTACATTACAGTGACAAGTCAGGACTATTTATAAGAGTTTTATTTTTAACAAAGAGTACATTTCCTCAATTTCAGAATTTTAATTAAAGTATCCTATTGTAAGATCGTTTTATTATCCACCCGTCACCTATCAAATTTCCCACCTAAAACTAACAGTTGTGTGTTTTTGCCTTTCAATGAATGAAACCCGAGGGTATTTCACAAAATTTACAGCTTTGAATCTCAGTAAAATAATTTGTGTATCTGTTTTTATATCTAATTTATAGCGCTAGTCCTAACCCAAGTGCATTTATAACAGATAGCAGGCCGTTATATCACCAGATGGAAATAAACACGTCAGTTATTGCTGCTTGCAATAACATTGCTATCTTAGAAGTTCAGATAGTTAATTTGAAATTTCTTCTTAATCAAGTTTTACTGAGAAAACTGCAACGAGAATGAAATATACGATAAGTCATAAAAGTAATAAAACATTCACAGTGAAATGTAATTTCTACTTCCGAACAGGTTTAAGGTAGGCTGTAACCCAATATTTCACAGAAATATACACGGGAACTGTTTGTTGTTGAAATCAACAGCCTTTTTCCTATCCTGGAGATATTAAGGAGATACCTCATCTCCGACTGGGCATAAAGGCTGAAATATAACCGAGGTGGTTATGCTATGGTCTTGGCATGCAAACGGCCTACCGTGAAAGTTATGCATCTGCAACAGTCACGGTACCGGGGCTATGTCAATCACTTGATTCTGGTAATCTAAATGTCAGAGACTGGTCGTTCAGACCTACGAGTATTTGTAAACAAAGACCATGAAAAACACAATTTTGTATGATATAATGATAATAAATTGTATAATTGGTAATTCTTCTCTTGCATAAGTAAGTGACGGAAGAATCTCCCAAAGGCTCTTAATTTATGGACTATAAATATAGCAATATTACTTTGACAAATCATCTTTAAATACCGGAAGTAAAGAGTCTCGCTCAAGAACGAAATCCTCCATTCATTACCTAGTCAGATTCAGCTTCACAGAAACTGCCGAGGAATAGCATTGGAAGTCTATCACTTGTGCGAGCAATAGTAGTTAAGATAGTGATGTTGAATCGTTCACTCATCGTGATAATTGTAATTCTTCAACGGCATTGTAATGGATAGTCCTGATTTTGTCTTCACCAATAATTCAATTCGCCAAATTCTGAAAATTATTTAACAGTTCATCAAACCCTAAATATTACTTTTTCACCAAATATTTTAAAAACTAATAAATCGCCCAGAGTTTGTAGGACGTTGACTGCATTATTTAATTGCACGAATCTGTTTTTGTCCATTTCCAGACAATTCTGTCAACTGAACAAATGTCAGTAATCCATTTTAGTGTTTCAGAGAAAACATAAGTTTTCTTTCACAGCATTCATGATTTGATCAAGTTTTACCAAGAACTTAACAAGTATTTGATTAGAAGATAAGACTTATTTTTACGTACATATATAGATTTTAGGTAGGTGGTAGTATAATAATCTAATTGAACAGTTGTGAATGACGGATCTGGGTGTCGCAGTGCCTCAGTGAGTTAGACGTTTGTACGCTAACCTGAAGGTCCGGGGTTTAATCCCATAAATCGAGATTTTCCACCCGGTTTCCCTCTGTCAGTGATGCAGGTAAGAGGGGCTGATATGGAAAAGCGTCTCGTCGTTCGGATGAGACAAAAAAAACAAGGCCCCGTGTGCTTCAGACTGTGCACGTTAAAGATCCCTCGACAGTTGATAATCGAAAAATAGCTAGCAAAACTTTCCCTCAATTCACCCTGCATGGCGTTGCCTGTCTTCATTAGTCCACATGGTACAGAAAAGAAGGATGTACCTTCATTTCATTTCATTTGTGAACGACGGATCTATGAACCGACTTCAACATGCTTTGGATTGAACTTCGTTGAAATTTCATTCAAACATTTGTTTTCATACTGTGAAATCTTATGATGTTAATTTTTCTTAAAAGTAAACATGAAATAACTTCAAGCCAACAGGTAATTTATTTAAGATACTCTTTTCTTCCACTGAAGACATCATCTTTGAGGTGTTGTGTAATGTGGCATCAGTATTGGTTTTGCAACAAACGTTCGAGTATTTATGCTAATAAAATTGTAAAAAATGTTTCGGCTTCCATGATAAATCTTTTTCAGATTATGATAAAAACAAAATCAAGCCTGACGTTTCACTCGATTATACAGGTACATTTAGTATTTACATTATAAGCTTAACCTCTGGAACTGGATTGAAGCATCCTGGTTCAACTTTCAAATATTAACTACTTATAGTCGACATCGGTCAGTCGGTAATTGAATAAACCCGTGGCTATTACAACAATTGAGTTTGATATATATTTTCCAGGCCCCTTCAGATGTCAACAAATGACATCAATTTATTTTCGTTCCCTAGTCCTCAAGATGTAACCAGTAACTAGCAGTCTTGGTCAAACCACTTGTTCGCAAATAATATGTCGTTACTACGGGAGAATGAGGCTGACCCTAGATCATTGAGATTTTAAATCCCCCTCACTTTTCCCGTTGACCTTATGATGCATAGAAACGCAACTGTCTTGTGTGGACAACCTTTAATATGATGAAACAAATCATCTTCCAATATACAACATGAACTATTTGGCGTGTAATATAAATTTGGAGGGATATTACATATGAACCAGAATAAAGGTTAGACTAATTTAATAAATCATACAATAAGGAGACATTTTATTAGTGTGGATGTCGAGAGAAAGTGATCATCACAAATATTCTTCTTGTCATGATATCCTTCACATAACATGCCATTATAAAACTTCTCACGGCATCTTTATATATATCTATCTATCCAGGCGTGTTACTTCCATATTTAGTACTTAACATTCACGACCCACGATTTATTCGATCCGACCAGTTCTGAAGACTTCTCATCTTATCAAACCAATAGTACTAACTACAACGATTACCAACTATCTAGTTGGCGTTATCAGCATGTTCCTGAAGCCGACGTTAATTGGTCAGTCTCCAACCAACCGATGTACTATTCACTATTTGAGACGCCTTTCCTGAGAAAATAGAATTGTCGCAAATTTTCTGCTCAACAACTACCTAGTCTGTGGCAACAGCTTTAACTTAAAGCGGACGTTACCTTGTGGTCTAACAACCAACTGATTCACCACACTTTGAGGCGTTTGGTTCTTTTGAAGGAGAATTTTCGCAAATTTTCTGTTCAGATTCTACGACCGACTACCACGACCAACAACAAATTCCTCAGCAGTGATATCAGCTTAGCTTGTCGTGTACCAACCAACCTCCGCAATTTTTTGTTAGAAGTCTTCTCGCAGCGATAAATAAAGAGCATGTTCTTTACCCCCTTACTTAATAGTTTTGTCCGGGCATCAGCCAATTTACATGATCAGTTATCCTAAATAAACAGATCCCTTCGACTTGTAAACCTATATCGCCTAGATATTTCTAGATTTTCTTCTATTTTTTTAAAATGAAATCAACAGTAATTCCAAAAGTTTTCTCTTTTGTAAAATTGGAAACATTTCTAGTAAACTGTTTATAATTCATGAAAATTTGCTTTGATTTGAAAACACGTAGAATTCCATTATGTTAAGCTGCGACCACAGGTTATGGGTTGTTCAGATTATGAAGTAGGTTAGGCAAATTTGTACTTGAAATAATTATTTTCAACCTTTGGTTTATTTTGTTAATCTTATGTTCAAATTAACCTTATTCCACAGGCCTGCCAGAAATTTCTCAATATATGAGCTCCTATTTTTTGCCTTGTTGAAGCGCATAGATAAATAACGACGTTAATTTGTCCACTTACTCAATATTTCTAAAATGCATTATATGTAGAACACAAATTAACATGAAAGTACAAAATATTATATGGCATAAGGGCATTTATTTTCTTTTGCTTCATCTGGATTTGGGGTAATATTGTTCTTCTGAAATTTCAATTACTTTTGTTCACGATTTTTTTTCAAAACATTTCAGTTTTATATTTGTCTATAATATTATTATATATTTATTGTTTCTGCTGGATTTTTTATTTGAAGACAATGAAAGAAAAGAAGTGTCTTCCGCTGAAAATTTGCCGAGGGTCTGAAATCAACAGGAAGCAAAATAAAAGAAGACACAAAAATAATAAATTAGATTTAAAAATTAGATTTCACAAATAGGCTACGTATCCGGACAGTTATTTCTTTGGACACGCAAAAATCGAATCGAAGCACGGAAACGATACATTTTAGTGTTCCTTAACCATCTTATCAACATCAAAAGATTTATTCAACACAGACTGCCCTTATGGAAGATAAGATATTTTGGAAAAGGTCCGCTCACTATCAAAACATTTTCATTGTTTTTTTTTTTAATTTAGACATAACCAACATTTTAATATAAAGTGTTTTCAATATATTAATCATTTTTTAAATGAAACTTATAATTTTTTTGTTAAAAATTTTGTCCTTGATATTGACATTGCAGAATTTTTGTTCCAACTTTGTTTTTATAAAAAAAATAATCTTGTTTTGTGGAAAAATATTCAAATTTTCTTGTAAATGATTAAACTTTTTTTTTGTAAATTTTCATCTAACACATGAGCCAAATCTCGATAATAAACCTTCAATAGGTATGATAAATGAAACAGTGAGCACGAAATGTTTAACGATAATAAAATACATTATTATGATACGTAGGGCTCCAACTCTACAATAAAACATTACGGTGATTTTCAACAAAATTATATTAAATTTTACTTTGCAGTGATTTGCCAGCTATTATGAAACGTTACGTATTTGATCTATTTTTCAAAGTTTATATAAGTTTTGAAATGGCATCAACAAGAGAGGTGCGTTTACAGATTTTCTACTTTTTGAGGCACACTAATACTATTTTTTAACCATTTCAATTTCTCTTTATTCCAATAAAATTTATCAGGTTGTAGTATTTGGGTCGCAATGTTAAGTTTGACATTCATTTTAATGTCTTACTTTTACAATGTACGATTATATAAAGATTAAATACAATAATTTATATATTTCGCAATACATGTACATGTTTTATGAATATAAATCACCTCAAGTTTAAAGTATTCTTGTCTCTACATACAAACAGGATGGATATTAATAATGTTAGTCGACTTAAGTTTTGGATAGTTTGTTCTGTTGTGTGTTGCTATTGAAACGAGTTGTTTACAGTACAATGATTCAACCACTCAGATTAAAGCCGGTCTTTTAAAAAGGAAAGGGAAAGAAGATGTTAAGGTGTCGGAATTCTGTGAAAAAAGTAATATGATACACTGATCATTGAAAATATATTTGAAGACTTACCGATTATCTATTTGTGCTAAGACACCATCATTTCTAATTTTACTTGGCATTAAAACCGAATTTGTTCTTGGACAGTCATTTGATTTCTGGACCTAATGCTTAAGGTATATTCAATTGATATGGCAATTATGACATGGATCACTTGCATTGCATATAGTTCACTTTAACTTTAATTATAAAAACCCTAAGTTTCATCTTCTCTTGAATAAACATCCATAAAAATACAGCTTGCAAAGTGAGCTACGTAATAATATACATGAAGTTTGAAGCTACACTAAAAGAGCAAAACAATTTTCAAAGAGATAAGCCTGACACCAAACTACATCTTATGTAAATATTTGAAATTGAATAAGACTCGGGATTATTTAATATTGAGCCAAATCAAAGACAAAGGCCTCATTAAATAAAGTAACTATGGCCTTCCTGTTATAATTTTCAGGAATTTCCCTACATTTAGCACCGAGTGTCACATTCATGTTGTTATTTACATATAATTTATATTTAGTTTGCGTGATGAAAACTGTTCTAATGAAAATTATGAATGGCATAATATTCTATTATGTTCATAAATAATGGAAACACTCGAGCAATAATGATCAATATTCTAAAAAGGTGACATAATTGCCGCCATTATGAAGTCAATTTGAACATACAGATAATTATCCCAATTACAGTGTGTTTGCCAATAATAATTGCGAAACAGGCCATTCCCACTGATAAATGCCTTTTGATTACTGAGACTTTGTATTCCATGGAATAATTTTCTTTATTATTCTAAGCTGTCATGAACTATGAAAGAAATCAGCCATACTTTGGGAAAATTAAACCTTCCCTTCCCCGGAACTAAAATAGTTGTAGGGATCATTAAGATGAATGGGAAAAGAAATGAAAAGAGGTTGTGGGGATTTCCCGAACATTATTTCAATCCTAGCACAAGACGAGACGTTCATTTCTCTATAAAATAATGTGCAATCCAACGAATAAAGAAGAAATATTTTTTGTCCTGTCCCCTTCTTACTTTCGCCAGCGAATCGAATTTTATCGATTATATTTAAATTAATTTCAGAACAGGAGAGAGCCAAACATGTTCCAACCAAATTTTGGCTGAAAACTAACATCTGTAAAAGCGTATTTCAGATTAACAATATGAGTCTTTCTGTTAGTATTGTCAACACAGAATTATCCTGAAGCTTTTAAGATGATTTAAACCTGACATTCCAATCAATACATATCACCCGATTTACAGACGAAAGCGGGAAAACAAAATTAAGGTGAATAGCTATCAAATATATGAGGACTTGAATCTAGGCATTGGTATTGCGGATCATTCTAGGTGGTGGACGACAAAACAGAATGTTGGTGGACATATAAAGTGCATTCTTGTAACTTGTCTATCGCCAACAAGAAAAGAACATTGATTTCACAGGCTACTCGCTTTCTAAAAAAAAAACATTAAATTTTATCAGAGCAACAATCGAGAAAACAGACCGATTGATATCTGAAGACTTGGATTCTAAGTAAGCTGATAACTTGAAAGACCGATCTGTGCTGTGAACTGTGGTATTTATCGCCTTATACATCAAAAAAGACAGAAAGATACAACCAGTTTCAAAAGGATGGCATCTGATGTTCTCGAGAATCACGTCTATCACCTGGTTCGTAAATCATCCTCTGGCATTAAGGCAACATAGTTTGGCTGTCTGCCTTTTGATCAGCCACGTGGAACATTGCCGTCCGAACTTAAATCCGTTGACCTACGGAATTAGCCGACTATTTATGGTAAGACAAGAGCTCGGGCAATAGATCTCCTCTGCGATGGAAGAAGTAGGGAGAATGCTCGAGGCAGGCACCTGAGCTAGTGCTTGATTGGAAATTTTCTCTTAAGCAAACCATCTTCTTAAATAATAAATTTGTTTAAACGTCCTAATCTTCGACGAAAATAAAATGCTTTTAGATTCGGAAATCAATTGAAACTTTCATTAGATACATCTGCACGTAAACAGGATTAGCGAACGATTTATACAGTTGAATATAAAATTAAACATCTTTTGGAATTGATCTTATCTAAAAGGAATATTCTTCAGGCTAACCACAGAACATTGAATGTTACTTATTAACAATTAAACATATTAATCTTCTTTAAACTCGTGCCTTTTGCATTGGAAAGATTAATCTCCGGTTTTCTCCTTAAGTTTTTACCACAAGTAAAATTTTCCTTTCTAATAGTACAATGGTTTTAATGTCGAGCTGAGATTGAGATGGCAGATAACACTCATCGATACACCAGGACAGTGTTAATTCTTTACAAGGTTCACGAAACAAGCATTGAAAGGGATCTAACCAAATTGTTTATCTTGTTTCCAGCGAGAGGAACAACCAGTTTTCCAGAAGTCCAATTTCTGATTTTGAACCGAAAACTTCTCATGTGCGTTCAGAAATTTATTCAGGGCCACAAAACTCTTAGGAGGACCAAACATTTGGAATTTTAAGATGAGTCTTTGTTCAGCATTGGACTTAACTTGTGTCATAACTGTACAAAAGAAGCAAAACTTAGAAATAATTTATTAAAATAAATTTTGAAACATGCCTAGAAACGTTTTTCAATACTTTAGTCTGGTGGGAATATTGTCTTTTAAAGAGATTATATTTTTTAGTCATGGCACTAGGTAAGTCCAACTGATGAATATTTACACTTTTTGACCACGTTTAAGACTTTAAATTGTATGTCTAATTCAAAAGGACTAGTTTTAACTAGTTCGGCAATTCAACTCGTAAAGGAGACATTAGAACATGAACCACTAACAAATTATGTTCGTTGCTTTTCAGAGCTTAAACAATTTTTTCAAAATATACCAAGCATATCGAGTTAAATTTGGTGTTACTGTTAATTGAGAGAATAACCATCCTGTAACAAGTTCAAAATCATACATTTTGTAGTGGGTGTACGAAATGCCTATCGAGGTTTCCAACTCGATGGAGTTTGATTTAAACATTTCGTGTTTAAATACCTTTTTGGTCGTAAAACAATCGATGTTTTAGCTTCTGAACAGGTGGAATCTAAATGAGGAAACAATGCTAAGGATGTCATTTAGTGTGAGGGGTTTATTTCCAGGACAGTAAAACTGTCTGTACCTTATTGATTACCAACTGTAGATCGATCTCAACTGCAAACTTTCGTCTTTTCTCTGATGAAAAAGCAGGGCCATGGTCACACTTTTAAACCTCATCCGGGAACTTATCTAGAAAATACTTAAGGACGGACCAAAAACCGTCAAGAAGTCAACGGATTTAAAATTTTCACTTCTAAGTAAGACCTATCACAGACCCGAGAGGAAGGTCATTACGCATTGGTCCTCCATGCTTCGGATGTTCTGGACCAACTCATTGCTCAACGATATCTTAAGAGGATTTCGATTGCAGAAATGAAGGCGTAATCCATCTCACTGGACAAAATTGGTATGAAAGACAATATCTGCTCAATCCACTACTCAATCAAACACAAGTTCTGATTAATAAAATCGTTTTAATAAATAAATATAATATACACATTTATTCGAAAGTCTGTGAAACCAAAAAGAAATGCTTTTGTTTGTATTTTACGGCGGCTACTTTTAAGAACAAAGCGATTGTGATATTACAAGCAAAAACAAGTCGTCATCATTTGAAATTTTTTTAAACAAAAGACAATATCGGTCCTTTCTCGGATATTTGTCGGTAAATTGTACCACTGTTTCGCTCAAAAATAAAGTAATGATTTCAATACATTCATGCAACAAAGACACATGTGTAATATTTCGGCCTTATCTCTTAATGGATTCAATTTAAAATTTTTGAAGGGTTAATTCGATAGTTTAATTTATGGCCTTAGACTTTCAGACTTCAAATACCGTATCAATTTCACTGCCATTTAATAACACATAATAGAACATATCCTTCTGAAATGCAGACTTTCTTAAGCCGACACAGTTCTCGTTATACGACTAGTTTCTCTTTGTGGTTGACGAACCATTCTTCTCAGAAAATAATTGACCAGCTGGTTTCTTTCTGAAGACTTCATATTTCGCAAGAGGTTTCTTTGATTGGACTCGTTACCTGACAACTTTATCACCAATTTTGGTATCCTACGCGAAGAGTTCACATCATTGTTCGTGGCTATTGGAAGTTGTTGGTTTTGAGATTCCTGGACTGTTTCAGGTGGTTGTACTATTTTCGGTTTTGGAGTAGAAGTTACAGTTTGAACTGTAGTTGATTCTACAATATAATCTGTTGTTTTCTCTTCATAAGCTTGATTTGGAATCTTTTTGTTATCAGTGGAGTCGTTCAATCGAGTATTCGCCTGTATTTGGTGACCTCTTGACAAGTGTTGAACAGTTCCCAATATATTTACTCCCATGTTGTTTATCAAACTCTGTGTGTCTGAACCAACCCTCGTTCTGAACTGGCTCTTGCCAAATATTTGCTGTTGATTTCGTAATTTTGCAGATAGTCGACTTGGTTGAATGTTTGAAATTTGTGTTTGCTGCACTGTGGATACTTGTTGTATTTTGTCAACTGAATCCTGGCTTCCAAGATTTATCTTTGTAAGTTTAGCTTCCTGAGATTTACTTTTTATATTCTTATCACTGGCACTTGAACCTGTTAGTTCATTATTTGTACTTTGAAGGGGCTGGTTCTTATCTGTCATACCAATTGTCTTGATAGCTTGAGCCTTTTCTAGGTTCTGTTTCGTTAAAGCCTCCATAGCGGCCTCGAGGGCTTTATGTTTAGATAACATCTGCGCCTTGAGAAGAGTCTCTAAAGTTCTCTGCTTTTTAAGAATCTGGTCGCTAAGAGCTGCTTCAGAATTCCGATGTTTAGTCATAATTTCAGCATTCAGAGCAGCTTCTAAAGTCTTGTGTTTATTAAGAATCTGAGTTTTTAAAGCAGCTTCCAATGCTTTCTGTTTAGCTAAGAGTTGGGTTTGAAGGGCTGCTTCTAAAGCTTTCTGTTTACTTTTAATATGTGCCTTCAAGGCGTCGTCAATGACCTCGTGTATGTTTACATTCTTATCCTTTGTGATATATTGGGAATTTGATGTTTTTATCATGTCCCTTTTTTGTTCAGAATCTGAAGCCTTTGGGGTGGTTATGATAGCTTGAGCCGTAGATCTGACATCTGCAGGTGTGGTGACTTGAGGTTTCACTGTCGTTCCGGAATTTTGATCATATTTACTATCCCTGTTGGCGGAATTCTTACCTTGTATTAGTTTTTGAGTTGTAGGTTGAAGTGTAGGAGTGTTGTTTAGTTCAGGTTTTCTGCGAGAAACTATTATTATTTGTGGTAATTGTGCGAAGGGAGCCATTGGTCTGACCATCGGTCGAGAGACTCGGGGTATCATAATTTGGAGCTGTCCAGTTTGTGGGATAGGAGACATCGGGTTGTTTTGACTTCTTTGATTTGGTATTTGGACAGCCTTTTGGGGTTCTGAAGGATATTGTCGAGGATCAACTACAAATACGTTAGTTTGTGGTTTTTGTTGGAAACCATTGTACGCGTGACGATGTTGTTGCATATAAAACGGACCTTGATAACCAGAATTTTGCACCCCGGAGACTCCATACGGCGTTTGTATATTATTTGGTTTAGGTTGAATTGGGTATACAGCTCTGTTGGCACTGCTTCTTTGGTATTGTTGGTGGTTATGGTAACCTGATAATGGACAATTGTTGAAATTAATATATTTTCACAAATACTATTTCAGGCATGACAGAGTCTAATCCAAAATAACCTCTGAAAGATGTTTCAGTTGTCATCAGAAATTTTGTATTATGTGTCTGTCTACGGATCCTCTTAAGGAGTACAAGAACTCGATTTCCACGAGACCTAATATTTTTATTGCCAAAGAATATCAGTTTACGCTTTTGTTTCTATTTTCATTTTACTTTTGTCCGTAGTAACTTCTATCAGTCATGAGTGTAATTAGATAGAAGAGCAGTATGACCTATGTCAGAGACCAGGAAAAAAGAGCCAGAGCAACTTCCGTAAATAGTTTGTATCAGAAACCAGATGAAGAGTCAATGTCATTTTTTGTCAGCTACGAGGAAACTCTGTCAACAAAACCTAGTGAAGATCGGAAATATGTTGGACTCAGCTAAAGATTGGACTAACGTCAATAATAACTATCAGAGGTCAGATAAAGAGTAGGTGAGACTTCCGCCACTAACGGAGGTCAAATACAGAGTCAATGAGACTTCCGTTGGTAATAACTATCAGATAACTATATAAGATTCAAAAGTTTTAGACAAGATGGATATTCTACAGGACGAATCCAGAATTATTTAGTGTGAAAAAACTCATTCTGTGCTGTGGAATCTATTCTACTGATCTCATTGTGTGTCAAATTGAAATGATCAATTTTATCAGGCAGATATTGAATAGCTTACCATAATTTTGTGAGAGGGCCATTTTCTGACGATTTAACTGTTTCATATATTGTTTTTGTTGCATTGGTGGTAAAGCTTCTGATGCTTCCATCTGTGCATCTATAAATTCCATGCCCATCTGTCTCTGTTGTGCAAAAGGATCCATACCCTCGGGGCCTCCAACCATTTGTGAGAAATAACCTGACAATATAGAAATGCAAGATGTAATTACAATTTCGAATGAGATTAATGGGAGCGGCGCCAGCCTCTCGAGACTGAGGGGACTAATAGGTGGCAGATTTACTAAATGAGGGGACAACTGGCCATGCTGAATTCAAAGTGCAGCAGCTCTTGGGGAGCCACATCGGCGCAAGCCTCCCGTGGAGTTTCTGAGAGGGTTTCTCCCCGAGAAAATGTTTGACAAATATAATTTATTTGGTGCAATCTGACAAATATTTTGGGGCAATAACGTATACAATTCATATCCTGAATTTTGATAACTGAAGTGGGTAGAATTGGGATTCTAATTAACGCCACCACGGAGAGTAATGATCAGTAATACTACAGCACCTGGCAGTTGTAACAAATGAAATGGAATAATTTTATATCGTATAAGATTGTGCCCTTGCTGGCAATACGACAATTCATACCAATATTAAACTGACACACCATGTTTATTTGAAGCCCCCTGTACCATATTCACCAGCACATTGTCGCTTATTCAACCCAAAATCAAAATTAAAACTACAGATGTAAACACGAAATCGGTAGTATGAGTGATTTAAAGGTTATAGCTCTGCTAAATGCACAGCTCTCACCAAAAGCACATCACAAAAAAACATTAGGTACAACTGACGTTCTTGACTAACAAGACGCTTAAAACACGAAATTAATAATTAATTCATACCTTGAGCTGCCACCTGTGAAATAAACACCAAGCAGAGACATAATTTGAGACCAAACATCTGAAAACAAAATGTCATTGCGATAACATTACTGATAACATTAGCTGTGGCATGAGAAATGCAAAGTAATAAAATGTATGACTTCCTTGAGTGGCATACAGTAATTGGAGATCACAATTGGAGACGTTTCGACTTTCATCTTCAGCAAGCAATGATGACCGAATCTTTAAAATATTGGAAAAACCAATTATTATTGAGTAAGCAACGACGGAAGTAGGTTAGCTGCTCAGGTAGATTGTGGTGTAAATATGCAAATTAACAATACTCCGCCTATATATTAAACTTCCTAAGAAAACAGATTCAAAACATTTCCAATAAAATTAGACTTTTTATATTCTAATCAATGAGAATGTTAACTTTATCTCGCTATGATGGAATTCTGCCGGTTGGTCATATATACGTCATTAACTGTCAAAGTTTGTCTTTTTCACATTTCAGACGCTCTAATATATCTATACGCAGATGTTTTTCAAAAAACACAGAAGAAGGTTTTTGAAACACACATATCATCCATATATTTATTGGAGGAATACTACCTCTTAATAGGACAAGCAATTTAAAGTATCAAACTTGTTTAATAAGAGTATTAATCAGTTGAATACCAGGTGCCATGACTCTAGAATAGAATCTATATATAACACGGCATATCTATTAAACTAGTAAATACTGAAATACGCAAGTTTCAAAATTACCTAGTCGATTATTTCTTAGTTATATGGATTTATTGGATTATAGAGAGATTCTGTTGTATAGCTTTGACACCAGGTAAGTCCACTGATAAACAAAGATTCAGTTTGGTCAAGTTTAAAAATTTCAATTTTTTAGTCATCCTCAGGAGTACTTTTAATAGAAATATTTCCTTTCCGATAATCTAACATAATGCTGTTCTTTGCAAATAATTCGTGCTGTCTTCATGCAACTAATACTAAGAAAACTGTTGTTGGATCTTACCTCTTTAAAATGAAACGGAGTTCCTAACATGTCTGAAATGTATAGACATGTACATCTAACGCTTCCCAGGGACTAAATGGACATTTTTATGACCATGGGTGTCTTTAATGTCTATTAAGGGGCCACAGTTACGTCAATTTGGTGTCTTTGACGAGACAAAAGTGATAAATACATGATTTGATTGACAACAAATTGGTGATAGATGTAGTAATATTGTCAACATTAATTACAGATCATAAGACTGTGGTCCGACTACTTATATAATCTTGTTCGTCGAGGACACAGTAGTATGAGAGAAGTCGACTCTGACGTCATAATATTAGCAGTATGTTAGCTGCATGTCTCTGTTTTGTAGTCATAGTCCAGACCTTCTTAGATCATGTAGATGGTTATGATAAAAAGATTTAAAGCCGACAAAAGTGCAACCCTTTACGAAACCACTTTGTGACACCGTACACAAAACTCGAACAACATATCTCTATTAACTATAAACAAACCCCATATCCGAGTATAAATTCAAAAATTGTGGTGCAAAAACCGCGTATCAATCTGATTAAAGAGTTTCAAATACAAAGGGTAAATTTTATGGAATGATCTAGGGGATAGTTACAAACAGAATCAGATTTTAATACGTTTAGAAGAAGAATTCTTGATTATCTTTCACAAGTATAAGAATACATCCTTTCCATACCGGTATTCATTACGTAACTATAAGACTGTGTTATCATACCATTTCAATCATATCACATAATTGCCGCTTTTGTATCTCCAAGTGTCTATGTTCATTTTTTGTCTTCTTCCATGGGATTGGTGGTTTGCCTGTGAGCCGCATCTTTCAAACCTTAGATTTGACCAATAATACACCTGTTTACTAATAGTTATCTTGACTCTAACAGTTATGCTTCAATATCCTGGTCGATTCGATTGTTTATACTAATTCAATAATATTTTAATCTTTTCCCACAGGTATACCACATATTGTTTCACTAATAATTTTATTTTTGGCCTGAAATTAATTAATTTGGCAAAATCAAAAACTCTTAATGTCAAGGGATGAGTAAACATCTTAAAAGTTGGTCTTGAGCATGGATGAAACCCACCTCTACCCCCTTGTGGGTTTGGGGTTTTTTTAATATCATTTGAATGTATATGTATTTCGGTGCCTCTTGTGGTTATTTCTCTCATCCATTCATTATATTGTCCCCATGGGCTGGATATTAGACAGGACCATGCCCCTGTATTGGGCCTAATTCTGACCCATGAAAAAATAAATAATAACATTATTATTATAACCATCTTTCTGAAGCACTTTCCTCTACAAAAAGTTTTGAAACCAAAGTACTGACAGAAAAACGGTAAAGACTTCTTCGAGGGATTAGAATTTGTAGGGTGAAACTCTTACTTTGTCTTTAATCATATTTTCTTTGATTGTAATTTTCATTTTGAACCTTGATGGTCAAAGAAAATTTAAGACTAATATGCTCTAGGCCTAGTTGATATAATCGCCACACTAAGAAATCTGGTGATCATCCATCTTAATTAAATTTATTCATCCATCATATTAAATTTTTTCTTTTAAACCTTATCATAATCTTAAACCAGTTTTTATTTATACCTTGGGGAAAATTTATGCATATAATCGCATTTTGATAATTGGCAAAAAAACCCTTGATTGGCGCATTTGACCATTAAATAGGACATTTCGTACAATGTAGAAAACTCCTCGTGTAGTCTTTTCATTCTATACTATTCAATACTAACCTTTCTGGTTAATTGGTAAAAAAAAATGTAACATAGATAAACGTTGTCGAGGCAATGCCGACTGTAGTCCATTCGCTAAGATAGTAACAGTAGTTTAACAGATAACGCATATTTGTAAGCAGTGAAGAAATTCGATTGATATGTAGAAAGTGGTTTTAATTACAAATTGATAGAATTCTACTGAATTTTAGTGAAAGTAAGACGGTTGTATAAGAATTAATTTATATTCTAAACCGATATCATTTCAACTCCCAACACGAAACAGAGAAATTATAAGACAATAAATCTTTCAAATACAGTTCTCGTTTTCCTTTTTAAGCTTGTAAATTGTAATCTTCTTTATTCATTATGGAAAAAATACTGTTGATAGTGAAACTACACAATATTATCTTGCATCCAACCGAGTCGATCAATTAACAGTCTTTTCAAACGTTGGTTCAAATTTAGAAACGAGCAGTGTAAATCAATTTCCTTTGTATTTGAAAATTTCTGTTAATTGAAATAACATAATATATGCTCCGAAAGGAGTAACATATCCCTTTTAAAAGTAAACAAGTTGTGAGCGTGTATGATTATAATTGAATAAAATAAGACATTCTATGAGCCAAAATAGGTGTCTTCCATTTGATCTTAGCGTTATTATAACGCTCCACGATGACATTATTATCATAACGGATTATTTGATATTTGTTTTATTTTCAAAATGACCCTTCCACACTTCCATAAAAGTATATTTTACACCTGTAATATTGTACGATCTTCTTTCCAATATTTCGAAAAAAGAACAAGGCTGATATGACAATAATTCTGTTGTCTACACATTATTATTATTCTATGTGAACTCTTATTATGAATGCCCATGAAGAATTACCGAGTTTAACACAAAGACAGTCGAAGAGCGACGTTAAACATTCGAAATAGAAACAACCGTGCAGAGAATTATATAATTTTTTCTTGTTCAACAAAATTTCAGAATAACAGAGGTTTTGATGCTAACTTTTCCTTTGTTCAACTAATATAAGTACACGTTAAGTACTTCTATAATCATTGAAGATTCTTCTCCGGGTCGTATTCAACCGAGGGAAATAACCTAGGCTCTTATTCTCCAAAACTTAACTAAGATAAAATCAAGATTTTAAGAAATACAGTAATCTGATTTGATAATAAAACTGAATTTACAATCAATTTTAGTGATTGACCAATCAGATGTCTGGAACACTAAAATCATTTTAAGTTGTTAAGTTTTCGAGAATAAGGACCCTGATTAGTAAGATAAAGTATCATTTCGAAATATACACCATACTACTCCTCAGATGGTTATTGGGACCAGGGTTAGCAAGAAAGTATTAGCTTGGTCTCCAATAGCCTAGTTGGGGACAGGGAAAGCAAGTGAGCATTAGCTAAGTCCCCAGCTGGGAAAGTAGTATGGAGGATAGATCGAAATGATACTTTATGATGGTTATTCGTATTTATTTCCCTTGGTTGAAGCACAGAGTTCACCATTATGAATCCATTTTCTCAAACTGTATGTAAACAGAACTGAATAAATAACAAATTCAAGCCTTACGATTTTAATGTCAATAATACAGTTTTTCCTATACCAAATATTTGCAATAATCTTTTAAAAGCCGTTTTGACATTTGTCTTCTTTTTTAGCCAACTTTCCATTTACGCATTTTCTGCTGAAATTTTAATCCGAACAAATGTGTATTTATGACAGTCTGTATAATTATTACTGCTACAACCAGTAACACAACATAATCTTCCCTAGAATTTTACAGTATATGCAAATATAATAACATATTTACAAAAAGATAAAAAATATAAAACTAATAGCAAAATATTTTATTCCATGTAACGATATATTAAATTGCGATGCATAGTTTTACAGGTATCCCCCTAATCTGAGTTCAAATTCAACAGGCTGGGGGATTGTGGAACATTACTCACACACAAGATGCATGTTACATAAAAAAAAAAAAACTCAATTCTACACACAATTTGTCGCCTGAGATATTTTTTGAACCCTGAATCTTGCTCATCGTAAAACTACACCACAAATAGTAACTACGAGGCATAAGCTAACTGTAGTAACAGGTTAGGCACTCTTGATTCCACCACTGATAAACATATGAGGAAGAGAGAGATGTGTTTTCATTTACCAATCAGTTTAATATCAGTGTGTCGGACTTGTGAGCGGTAATAATAACTTTTGATAGTTCTACTATTGGGTGGGGGGATTTATTAGGCGCGTAAAGTCTTACACGTATGTCGTTAGACAACGTTTAGCGAGGGTAGTAACCCATACAAAAAACAGAAAAATTTTCTAGTCACTCAGTAGATGTCAAAGTATATTGCAAGTCTGATCTGGCAAGAGAATAATCTTTTGACTGAGAATCGATAGTTCCAACACCTTAGTGGGAGATCTACTTAAAGGCTTGATATACATTTATAAAAGGTTTAACTCTGCTTAAACTTGATCTTAACTGTCAATCATTGATTTTATCTGAAAATCATAGTGTAAATAACTTCTTGACTGATTTAATAAAAAAAAATCAGGTGATAATGGATGCGATACGAAATATATTTTTTAATAACTCTTAAAAAACATAAAATAAGTTAAATGCATTGGCGGTGCCAGTAGGATACCGGGGGGGGGGGGGGGGGGGGGGGTGCGATTTGTTCCCTAGAGAATGCTTTGTGCCCCCACGTTTTAGCCTCAAATATGCGCCAGAATGCACCATATCAATACTATTTATAAAAATATTTATTTGGGTGAATACCCTCCCAGACACTCCATGGGACGCTTGGCATGAGTTTGCAAAGAGCCTGCCGCATTTTAAATTTCAACATTTGTCACCCAACACTCCTTCCCCCAACAATATAGTCTGCCCCCATTAGTACTCCCAGTCTCGGGACAATTCTGCCACCACTGTTAAAATGTCTACGTATTTTCTACCCCCATCAGAGAAGAATAAATCTAAGTCATTCTGCAATTGACGTTTAGGAGTAAAAAAGTAGAAAAGACGAATTGTTTGGCACGTCTACGAAAATATATTTCAGTTTCTTATTCATTCAAGTTGATAATGATTAAGTTAAACAAAACTCAGAATTTAAACGGGTCCAACAAAACCATTATAAAATGCAAGTCGTTTTGTACATAAACGCATTCGAAATAACTACAAATCTAAAACAACTACAATTCAAAAAAGGAAAAAATGACGTGAAAGCAGGGCGGATGGGACTGGGAATGGATTGCCCTCCATAGCCCCTCGGGTATATTACTTGTCCCTCCGAACCATTAAGTTTGACTATTGCCTGGAAGTAATGATTGTCTACATAATATTTTTGATTTTGGTTGAATCGTAGCGGAACTGAACGTCGTGAATCAATAATTGAAGGAGTATAGAGAAGGCTGCATGTTACGTCTGGTAAAACATATATATAGTACGGTCAACTACAAATCAACCGTCTTGTTCAACATGTATGGTCTTCATTAGCCCACATGGTGCAGAAAGTAGGAAGTAAAACTCCATTCATTTCATTTCATTTTAGCATGTATGAATTAACCGGTGTAACTGTACTGAAAATAGAACTACGCCAGTATTGTGGTGTACTCAGCATCCAGAAATGTTATCAGTACGTAGATATCAAGATGTACTTACAGATACATTGTCTACAAACATCACGGTTTCCTAAAATAAACCCTCAGACTTCTGTGTAAAGACGATCGACAATCTGTTGATATAAATCTTATCTTTACAGATCCCTTACTTCTGACATAATGTTGCTATAACATTTCACAGAAAATAGTTGTATGGCAGTTTTGGTTACATACATACGTACGTATATATAAAAAGTTAACTTGCTAGATTCGTCAATGGCAGTAGTTAAGAAAGTATGTTTCTCAAGCATAAAACTTCGATTTTCTATCAAATGGATATTCAGCAACCCATATGATTCTCTATGAAACTCTTGCTATTATCAGACTTAAAAAATGATTTTGAAAGGTTTTGACCAAACGAAGTGCAATTACTGTTTATTAAAATGCTTTCAATTCCAACAATCCATGGCAAATCGGATGTTGGTTTTTACAACGCTTCGATTAGGTCGATGCCATCGTCAACTTCGAATCTATTTGTATTCTCATCAATCAACGCAAGCATTTTCCAGATTCATCCAAACTTAACACCCTTTTCCAATATATCAAATTACAAAACACCCCTATACTACCTAGTGGGTGAGCGATGCCAACCTGTATTGGAAGTGGACGTTATTTTTTCATCTACCAACCTACCAGCTATCCCTTTCCAAGTATATCAAATTTCAAAATTCATTTAACACCATTGGTGGATTGATGACGAAAATATGAAGAATTTCTACCTGTTATGGCAATGTTTTTTGAAGCACGATGGTGTCAGATATCCTGTGAGATGAAAATGGGTTTCTCAACCAACAAGGAAACAATATATTACGAAAATCAATTCTTTTAATATCATTAAATACGATTGGTTACTTCATGAAAACGTCACTAT